TTGGAGGACAAGATGTCGCCGGCGCAAGAAGCGTATGATACCTTTGTGGAGGCGAGGATGCAATTGGGTGAGGCCGAGAGGACCGAAGAGAATCTGAGTAGCATTAGACCCAATTATAGTCCATCCAGCGATTGAAAGTCATCTCAATCTAACATGGAGTGGAGCAAGCTTAGCCCTTTGCAATGTTAAATTTGGAGCAATTTTTTCCAAGGAACACTGCCGAGATCAAAGACAAGATGCGCAAGGCAATGGGACGGAAACTGGTCTGCACCAACTCTGAAACGACCATGAACAAATTACAAGAACAACTGTTTCTGTTCGTTTGTGTCACCCACAACCCATGCATGCAATGTCAAAAAAGCAACTGCGACCCTGAAGACTCTCGACATCTCAGGGCATCCACACTTGCTTCGGTGGAGGCCCAGGCCAAGCAACTGGCCTGCACTGAGGCTGTATAATGGAGTTGTTGGATGCGTTCTTTTCTCTACGAGTGCTTTGCAATATGTATATTATATACGGCAATATATGGAAAATGTACAGTGAAGGTATTTTTTATATCAATTCTCACTTGACCAAGGGCTTTGGAGAGAACCATCAAGAAAAAGGTGAAGGACCTCGCAGCCGAGAAAGAGGACCAGTGAGCTGCGATTCCTTTGGATTTACTTCTGATGCGTGTGTTAGAGAAACACATGCAAATGTCACCACTTAGAGCTTTAAAGCTGGTATTTGTCGGGTTCACTTGGGGATCATGGTGGACCAAGCGCGACAAAGGGGGTTTGCTGCGCAAGCCTGGTTCTCAAACACATTCACCTGTCTCTTTGCCGCTCACTCCCCGCTTCCCTCCTCAAGAGAGCGCATGCCATGCACATGGCAGGTGGGGAGCCTGAACTTCACGGCTTTGCTCGAATGGTGGGACAGGGAGTTGGGGGCCCTCAGGATCAAAGAATGTGGGGCGTCTTGAACATGTATACATGTTGCAATTGGAAGTCAGGGAAAACCTAAAACCCAAACATGTGAGTGCGCCCATGGTCGGTATTTTATGGTAGGTGCGCCATATACTTTGGTTCAACACCTCGATCCACACTATTAAGGACATCACAACATTCATGTTCAACAGGGCTACGACATGTACCACAGGGCTCCCAACACGCCTGTCTACCAAGACCCTCCAAAGACATTGTTTGAGTAAGTCTTCTGCCTGAAAGAGCTAAGAGTTCAGGTTGGCAAACATGGAAGCATATTGAAGTGAAGTGTCCTATTTGGCCCTTTCTGATAGCCCTATTTCCACAAATAACATTCCTCTTCAACAGTTTCAAGGTTTCTATCTACAGCCGTTTGTGTGAGCCTAGCCCTCAACGAACACATGTCGCCTGTAGCTTGGTGTGGTCGCACCACCTTATATGGTAGGTGTGTTGCATGGATGCAGAAACCCAAGATCGATCTTCCTGGGTTGTTAGAAAACAACAACACAAACAAATGTCGGAAAACCCGGAGCAAGCAAGGTTGGAGAGGAGCTGTTCAAAATTGTTGTGCGGGAACACCGCTTGTTTCAATCGGGAGTTCCTTTGGGCAATATTTGTGGATATAGGTATATATGTGGGAATAACATGGGCTGGACTTTCTGGGTTGGAAAGACTGCGAATCTTACCAGTATTGCCACTGATCGAGTCATACAAGGATGCATATATATATAATATATACATATATGGTGAGAAAGCTGTTCTACAAAGAAGTGCTCATGTAAGTGTAAAATTAGATAGAAACATCCTGCAATGCGTCAAACACTGCTCAACGTGATTGCCCCAATGAGTGGCGATATGGAGAAGGCCCTCCATGCAACTGAAGAAGACTCATGTATATATATATGTGTAGGGGCACGTGTTTATTGTACTGTGACCCTTTCTGCATGAACAATGTGTGAAGGTACTCTCATTTGTTCTTAAGAGTGCACTGATGCAAACGCCTTTTTCCATGCATCGTACATGTCCTGCAATATGTGTATACATGTGCCATGAAAACAATACCTGGTCCATACCTTTGCCTCCCGTCTGGCCAAGGTCTCTTGCAGAGATGCCATCAGACAAGCACGTGTCACTCGGAATCCTTCCACGGCATTGCAGAGGCTTGCACGCGTTCCTTTGAAGAAATCTGAAAGTGGAGCGCACAGAGTGTTCAAACAGTGTGGCCAGTCACTTGAGATCAAAATCTCGAGAGTGGACCTTGTCAGCAAGACTGACTTTCCGTATGTCCGTTTTTCGAGCTGGCTGAAGTATTTGGTTGAGTTCGACCAGATGCAGCAACTTGTGGGGGTCTCTGATATCTCTACCATGAATAAGGTCCTGAAGATGTTCTGGAGCCGCTTTCGGGAGTCACATCCGGAACACAGAATGTACTCTGCAGAACCTGGCGCTCCACAGCACCCCGAGTTCACAATCCCTGTGGTGACACACGGGGATGAGGGGAGAGGAAGGAAGAAGAAGCAACTAATGGTCCTTTCAACAACTGGAGCTCTTGGCCTGGGAACTTCGCGCTGTCATAGTGAAGGTCCAGATGACCAGGCCGATGTTGAGCAACTTTTGCGTCTGAACCATTTGGGCAATACATCCCTGACCCATTTCTTGAGCTGCGTTCTCCCGATTGGGTTATACAACAAAACTCCAGAAGTGTTGGATCAGGTTCTAGACTTGCAGGCGCAAGAGTTTGTTGAACTGTTCTATGAAGGTCTCCTTGTACAAGGCCGCCGGTACTTTGTGGCAGTTCTCGGCTGCAAAGGGGATGCCCCCTACCTCGGGAAGTGTGGGCACTTCGAGCGAAGCTTTACAAGGAAGCCAACTCGGGCGACCAGCCGCAAGCCTGCAGTGGGCGTGTGCCATTTGTGCTTAGCTGGCAAAGAGAACTTTGCCTATGACGCGCCGTTTGAAGATTTTGGTGTTCTCAAGCCAGCCTGGCTAGAGACAGTTGGTCTGATTAGGCCTTGGGTCATGGACCCACCGTATCAGCAGATTCCTTTTGAATCTGATCACGCTCCGTTCGAAAAGTTCTTTCGGTTCGATCTCTTTCACAACCTGCACCTCGGCGTGGGTAAGAACTTTGTGAGTAGTGCAGTGTGCATCATCCTCGAGATGTTCCAAGGGTTGACTCTCCCGCAAGCTTTTGAGCGGCTGACTGCAGACTTCAGGGCATACTGCCAAAGAAATCATGAAGCTCCTTACCACAAGACTTTGCAGGGCCCATTGTTCGGAGTTCAAGGCAGCTTTCAAGAGACCCCAGAGGGGGCGTGGAACAAGGGAGACTACACCAGACTACTGCTCCAATGGTTTGGTGATTTCTGCTCTCGAGAAGTCATTGGCCATACTCAAGAACCGATCTTTGTGCTTTGCGTTCCTTTGCAGTGTTCAACATGTTTGGTTTGTTGTTTGCAGGGAAACGATTCGCAAACTTGAATTTGAGGAATCGATCCTTGCTGTTTCAATAGCCGAGGCTACCGCTACTTCGGCTATCAACGAGTGTGTGGCCGGCCTCTATGCAGAAAGCATCTTCATTGAGAGTGACAAGGCTGAGCATGTTGCCCTGCAAGGGCTCCTTTTTCTTCGACGGTATGCAAAGCTGGCAAAGCTGGCTTTCGAGCGGAAGCAAAACCGCTTCCCTCTTACTGCGAAAGGACATTTTTTACATCATCAATTCTTGGAACTCCATTCGCAATCTAGGTCACGCCGCTTTTGCGTGAACCCACTGCTGTACGCAAACCAAATGAGCGAAGACTTTGTGGGGAAGCCGTCAAGGCTTGCCCGCAGAGTCTCGCCCAAAACCACGGAGATGCGAGTCCTACAAAGGACTTTTTTGTCAATTAGGAATGCACTTTGTTCATCTGCAGGGGGTTGTGGTGGAAAGCTGTGATGTCACTTAACTTGTGAAGGCTTCAACATATATATATATATGTGTGTTGTCACATGTATTGCATGCAAACCCTCGTGTTCAACACCTATGTTTTCCTAGATGTGATATATGTGTTTGTGCATGTGTACACATAGTTATACACCTTTATAGAAGCAGGGCCTGGGGCCACGACTCTCCAAAGCGGATTCCACTGCCGGGATCGATGGAGCCAAAGGGGTGGCAGCAAAAATGCAAGGGACTGGGCGGGCAGTGGTGCAGGGTTTGGAAAGAGATGTAGCTTTTGAAACAAAGGTGTAGAGTTGTCATTGTGCGAAAACCGGGTTTTCAATACCTTGACCTAAAAAAAGTAGGTCAGCAAAAAAACACTTCGTTTTTCATGGTTGCTAGGGCTGAGGGATATATATATATATATATATCATGTGATTTTGTCTTGGTTGATTCTTTTTTTGAATACCTGTTTTGATAGGGTCATTCCTGCCACTCTCTCTCTCTCTCACACACACACACACTCACCTCGTTGAAACGACCCCGATCGAGCACGATCCATGACAACTCCCTCCAAAAACGGCACGGTTCTTCGTCATCCTGAGGCCCAAAACGGTCTGGACTCTCCACCCTCCCTGGAATTCACATGGAAGTGGAGAAATCCCCTGGTTGTAGAGGCAACTGGTCTTCCAAGGTGCCATTGTCCACTTCCATGTTAGTTCCAGGGAGTGTATCTTTAAAAAAAAACTGAAAAAAACTGTCTTTTTTTGTTTCTTTGTCAGGTCGGATCCATGCGACCCAAACAGCGTTGAACGGGCGGGTGGGCGTTTCACAGGGAAAGAGCCCGGACTGGACGGTGTGATGAAAGCACACATCCCAATAAAGAAAGAGGCAAAGAAGCAAACAGGCCACCTTCGAGTTGTTTTTTCTGGATCTTTTTCATACTACGTCATAGAGAAGAGAAGCATACGTATCGGAGACCCCCAGCTCCACAAAGCTTCCCTGGAGATGAACATGACACCTGGTGAGCATCCTTCCAGAACTTCCGTGACGAACATGGAACTGCTCCACCTGGTGTTCCAATCCATCCACGGACCATCCCGGTGGCCGGTACCGAGGTGCGCAGGCAAGCACGGCACCGAGGAGGACAACGCGAACTACGAAGGTGCGGTTGGCTGGATCGGGACGCGTCGCCCAAGCGGGACGCGTCGCCTTCCGGGAAGACGAACTCAGTTCGACACGGGAACGAACCATCCATGGGACTGGCCGTCATTTGTTCGGCTCCATGAAAACCCCTGGAACCAACCATCCTCTTTTTGTATATGTAAATATACATGAAATGTATTATGGGAGGCGCAATTAAGTTTGGCTCCTTAGATGGGAAGGATTAGCCCAGCCCCAGATTGGAAGAGTTCGAGTTCTGGTTTGTGTCATTCCTGAAACGGACGATGCTTTTTTTCGGGATCTATACTCAAATCTCACATGTATCTAGTAGAAATCGCCTCAAATCGACACACAGACAAAAAAACATGATCCGCCTCGGGGCTTGCCGGTTCGCTGCCCCCTCTACCCACCTTAGACGCCCAGCATCCCCGGGCTCCGTCATCTGGAGCCCGACTAGGCCATTGGGATGTATACCAGCACCCTCCACCAGGCGGATTGAAGACCCTAGTTTCTGGGCACCGGAACTTGTCACCAGAAAACACCTGTTGTCACCAGGGTCCAGGTAGAATGTGTCCATTTAGCTGTACAGTGACCATGTACCCACACTCCCTGATACCCCCACTGAGTCGAATTACACGCGATCGAACCAGGCGATCGAACGCTCGCCAGCATCGCGGTCAGTCCGACGTGCCAAGAAACCCACAGATGTGGTTGGCCATGCACACGAAGCCAAGCGCCAGGGGTTGAGATCCAATTTTTGTTGGGAACAATTCTTTGTGTTCTCAAGTTGCGTTGGGTCAGTGCCCCCCAAAGACCAACATACCCAGCGTTTCTGATGTGATGTCTATGGGGTGAACAACAAATCGGGAGTGGCAAGTTGCCACCCCCAAACTCGATGGTCTCCCACACCGATGCGGAGCAAGAAGCCAGGTCACGCAGCTTCGCCAAACTGGCCGGGTCACGCAGCTTCGTCCCTTTCGCGTTTAAAGGTCCTTTAGATTTCATGTTGAGGCCTTTCAGGCCGCCTTGATCAAGGGTGGCGTCCACTCAAGTGACCCTGCGGACCCTGCGGACCCTGCGGACCCTGCGGACCCTGCGCTTTGGTTTTTTTCACCACCGCTTCGTGGTGCGTGTGAAAACGGCGGCTTTCTCGAGGCAAACTGGTGGACAAGCGCATTGGGGGTGAGGACCGGGAGTCCTTCATCACGCTCAAGGTGCGGATGCAGCCCGTGTGCTGGCGCGGAGCCCGCGCGGTGGCGCCGCGCGGAACCCCGCGGATGTTGTTAAGCGTGTGGACATGTGTGGACTGAGCTCCTCCTGTTAAGGGGTGAATAGGGTCTTCCCTAGAGTTACCAATTAAAGGTAGACAGCATATATGACAAAATATAAAGTCTATTTTGAGGTTATTTTGAGGGGTGAGTAGGGTTTTCCTTACAAAATCAAGTTCCTCATATATAGTTCCCCTATGTCCCCTACGTTACATTGTCCTGGAACCACACTTGCAGGTGATGCATAGTTCCTAAGTGAGATGGGGCACCAAGGAGGCTTCAAACGATATGAATCGATATGTGTTTTATGTGGTGGCATCCGTATGTCTCATCATAGTAGAGTTACTGCTGTGGGCCAATCAAGAATGTATATGTCCAAAGTTCAAAGACTATACTTGTCCAAAGCACATTCCCGAAATCAGGTCCCGGTTCCTCAAACCATTGTCTTATATAGTCTTTGACTCCCAGGGTATTCATCTCATTGGTTTCTGAATGAGGGATGGCGATCGCTCGCCGCCTTTTTCTGGTGGTTTTGGATACAAAACCAAGAGCGATCGCCGATCGACACGACCCTGTCTGGGACTGGGACTATCTGCCCATTAGTTGGGGTCGCAGGGTCGCAGGTTTCTTCAGACCGTCAGGGATCCACATGCCTGCGAAGATCTTTGGACCCTCCATGCCAGAATATAAAAGAGTCTTCAATCATCCATAGAACCGCCACGCTGGCCGCAGAAGCGCGAACCGCTCACTCTCTGCCAGATGACCCGCTCTTCGGTGTATCCACCCTCTGACCCTCAGCTAGCTCAGCTCCACGTGGTCAGAGAACGTGGTCAGAGCCAGAGCTTTCTCAAAAAAAACACATCTCAGTTCGGGGAGTGCATTTTGTTTACTTTTGCTTTGTTTAAAGGAAGAGCCTCTCAACCAAGGATCGCCTGGCGTGTCTGACTTGTGAGTCCCGATCATGGCTCTTGAAGAACTGCTTTCCCAGACTCCAGACGCGACCAGTCGGCAACACTGGCCGACCCTTTGTTCCGCCATGTTCACCCTCCGTTTTCCACTCACCCCCGGGCCCCCGTTGGAAAAAACATCATGATATGCTATCTCCAAAAACTGTTTGACCCTCCAACCTCAGCACAGCGTACCCAGGTGACCGACGTCCCGCGGTTTACGGGCGGCGTCCCGCGTCGGGTGGTGTTCACCCCTTGGGGTGGTCCGGAGTCGACGGTGGTCCCGAGCTGCCAGGACTGCTTGGTCTTCGACTTATGGGGCCGCTTCGTGGAGAAGCTGCCGCTCGCTCCGAGTGATTTTGGGTCGGCTGGGCGGGGGGCCGGGTCAGAGGTCAGGGGTGAGGGGTCTGTTTTTGGAGGTCGGTCTAAAGAGTTTAAAAAGAGTGGTATGTGCAGAGTGGTCGACTTCTGAACAGGTGGTTTACTTCATGTTCTTTTCAATTGGACACATATTATAAGGTAAAAACAAAACCATTCTTCATTCTTCTCTTTTTCGCCCAGATGCCCGACACAGATGCCCAACATTCACCCCAGAAAACCATCACCAGATGCAGGCCATGATTTGCAGTCTTATGGAGAGCCTCCAGCCAAAAAGGGATACTTACTCTTCCTCCGGAGTGTCTAGGTGAGATTGGAAGGATGTTCGGGATGACTGCAGACTTGGTGGTTCGTGAGTGGAGACGGAAGTCACTGATGTTTGATGATATTCCGAAGGGATGTGGTGTTCAGACGTTGTGACAACGGAAGTTTGCAGCCTTTCAATGTACACATACTGCAGCTTTCTTTTTCACACGCTGTTCCTGGAAGTTTGAGATAGGATCTTCAGTCACTTGTGGCAGTTCCTGGTTGTGCTTCTCAGTTTTACATATATAACTAGTATATGCGGATCATGTTGCACAAACTGCACAAAACAACATGGAGCAGAGTGCGACGGACCTGCCGCACCCGGCCCTGAGAGGGACCTGACCATCAAGCAGTGCTTGAGAATTTCGCTGGGATTCGGGAGGTCCCCCCAGGTGTTTGCCCCCAACCAACTCCATTTCAACACTGGCAACAAAAAAGGATCGCAGTAGGCTTGGGCATCCTAGGCTTTTAACATCTTTTAACACGAGTTTGGCCGTCCGTGTCTCCCAGCATTGAACGCATGGCGTTGAAAGCATCTCCGCTTGGTACACTGAGAATCACACTCTCCATCGTCTTCCATGATCTTCCAGTTGGATCAGAGCATTTTTGGAGCTGACTCACAGTTTGACCACCACTAAACAACACGAGAACAGTGGATAGGATAAGTGGCACACCCGTTCGACATGTGCACTGTTTTTATCGCCGTTCCTGTCGTCGTTCCCATCAGACGCCAGATCTGGACACACGTCAGACGCCGTGCCGCGTGCATCCTCTCCGAGGAAGTCCAAGAAGCTCATCGACGCGTATGTCCAGACCTGCGAACATGCGGAGAAGCGCTCCAAGACCCCAGAGCGCACCGGCAATGCCTTCGTCCCTTGAGCCAGGAATGGGTTCCGGAACGTTCGAGAAGTGTGGCCCAAGGAGGTCAAGGTGTTAATGTGTATAGGTGAGGTGAAGGAGGGTGAAGGTGACATTTTTGAACCATGGGCTCAAACTCCAAAAACCTAGACAGGAACCCTGGCACTGCGAACTTGGCCTTCAAAAAGGCCAGGGGTGGTTTGAAAAATGGGGTCAAAGGATGTAGACATCATAGACGGCATAGATGAACATCGAGTTGGAGCTTGGGTTTCAGGAACCAGCAGTTCCAGCAGTTCCAGCAGTCTGTTGGGTGCTGAAAGAACGGAGGGTGGTCCGTCGACGACGGGGTGGTCCGAGGTCTTGGGAGGTGCCAAAATGAGTTGCCAAATAGGTCATGTGCTGATGAAGTGAAGTATGATCATTGGGAGGTGACCACTTTCTGGCAAATGAACCGGTTCTGGACCCCGATCCTGGCTGTAGATCCCCGATCATGTGGGTGATTCCAGCAAACGATTCCATGTTTGGGCCACATTAAGTTATAACGTGTGAAGACACACGCTGTATGTCTTGTTGGATCACCGCACCCGCTCGCAGAGGGCGGGCTCAACTGCCAAAAGAGGCGCACCCGGGCGCGACGATTCGGTTCGTCCTTGCCTTCGATTTCGATCGATCGTTCTTTGCACTGGAGCTGACTTCGTTCGCAGCTACCACGTCTTCATATTGGTAGCGGAGCCCGGACCTTCCGGGCTCCCTGCCTAGCACTCCGCGACCACGTCGAGAAGGCTCGGAATAAGTCCTACGTCAAGGTCGGTTCGAGGAGCTCTATTTTCCATAGTCTGTCTTTGCTTGGTTCATATCCACGGCTACCACATCACCCCTGCCAACCAGCACGACAGACAGGAGCTCTTCGTTCCTATGCCTCCAACACAGAAGAAGACGACGCAGGCCTCCAGCTCCGACGGAAAGGAAGGGACAGTCTTCACCGACCTGAGAGACAACTATGTCCCCACGTTCAGCGGTCAGCCCGCTGACTACCGCGAATGGCGGCAGAGGATCCATCTTTACCAGAGGAAGATGGCCCTCACCAAACGACAGAGTGAAGCGGTCCTCAACATCGTCGGTTCCTTCACTGGTGTGACCTGGCGTTTGTTCCAGGACTGGAGCATCGAAGAACTTGAAGCTGATGGTGCACTTGACCGCATCATCAAGACTCTGGACTCCAACTTCGCATACGATGCTCGAGTACAACTCCCCACCGACTTTGAAGGATACTTCAACCTTCTTCAACGGCCAGGCGGCCAAACCTTGCTGCTCTATGTCACCGAACACGAAGAGGCCTACAGGAAGCTTCAGCAGCATAAGGTGGAACTGCCACAGTCCGTTCAAGGTTGGCATTTGTTGAGAAGAGCCTCACTCACCAGAGAGCAGCGCCAGATGATCACTTTGAAGGCGCCAAGCTTGGAGAAACAGGCCGTGATCGAGGCCATGTATCTCATCCTGGGTCAAGACTACAAAGGCGGTGGCTGGAATGTAGAGCGCAACAGGCGATTCCATCAGCCCTCATGGCGATCCCAGCGTGCCTATGCGGCCGAAGACTATGAGTACGATGATGATGAATACTGGGACGATGCCGGCTACTTTGAAGCCGATGATCAATGGCCTGAGGAGTACCCCATGACGACCCCGAAGAGTTCGACCAGGATGCAGGCTACTTCGGTGAGGAACCATGGCCTGAGAACTCCACCGACGAGACCTACAACCCACAGGCTCTTGCTGAAGCCTATGATCAGGCCTTCGCCTCCTACACGGATGCAAGAAAGAGGTTCCAGGAACTGAAGATGGCTCGTGGCTATCTGCCCATCGTTGCACTCACGGATGGACAGCAGCATCAATCTTCAAGCTCGGCTACATCACCCACAGCCTCGACTTCATCCTGGAGAACCAAAGGAAAGGGAAAAGGGGGCAAATCCGGAAAGTCCAAGACCAACATCCGGTACCCTCCACAAGGTGCCGGGAAGTTCGACCCAAAGGGGAGGGCAAAGGCAAATCTCACCTGCCTTCGTTGCGGACAGCCTGGACATTGGGCAGCGAACTGTCCCCAAGGGAGTTCTTCGCCCTCTGCTCGCTCCAGTATGAAGCGACCGGCTCCAACGACAACTGAAGGTATGGCTCACTCTGATGAGACCGCTCTCCTCATCTTCCACGACGACCAAGGCCGAGAACGACCAGATTGTGTGATGTTGGACCCCGGAGCCAGTGCTTTCTTGTCAGGGTATGGCCCCTTCCGGCGACTCCTCAACCACTACCGCGACATTGGCTACCCTGCGGACTCCATCAAGATGACAAGAGGTCGCCGTCGATTCCAATTTGGAGGCGACGCATCACAGTGGTCAGACTGGAGCGCACACATCCCAGTGTTCGTCGATGGCAAGTTTGGTACCATCGAGATCTTTCTCTTGCCTGGGAACACTCCCATGCTATGTGGCAGGCCCATCATCGAGGCCCTTGGAATGTCAATGGACTTTGCCCAGCGCCGACTGAGGATCGGAGACAGCCCATGGCAGCCAGCCACACTGGGCCGTCAAGGTGAATATCTCTGGCCGATCACCCAGGAGCATGACCTGATGCACTACGACCCTCAAAAGCCGGACTTTGAACTTCGCACCAATGAGCCCGATGTCCACCAGACCGACGGCTACACTCTCCCTGACTTCATGCAGGCTGAAAAAGGGTTCGCAAGCTATGAGGACAAGAATTGTGATCCTCCGACTCCTGGCCTTAGTCAGCTGAAGAAACACGACCTCAAGACAATGGACACTCAGCTGACAACCCACATCGGCTCCCTGAATGCGTTCATCACTCAGGAGATTCACCGACCACCACGACCTCGAGTCCTATGGGAAGTCTACTGTGGCAAGGGCCGGACATCCACCATTACATTGCCCAGTCTCTCGGCATGGAAACCCGACAGTTCAGCCTTGACTCCGGCTGGAACTTCGAGCTACTGTCACATCAACAGCAATTCCTCGACCTCATGGATGAAGAGATGCCCGACGAACTTCTCCTTGCACCTGAGTGCAAGCTATGGTCGAGGATGCAGTCTTTGGGCCGACGATCACCAGCCCAGAAGGAAGCTCTAGTCGCAGCACGCCAGCACCATCATGACCGGCGCCTCAACTTCACGAAGAAGGTCTACCTGAAGCAGGTCTACGGTGGGAGACACGCCACCATTGAGCAACCAAAAGATGCACTCTCCTGGCAGACAACAGCACTTCGAGATCTTCCAGGACGCATCACAGACTTCTCGCAGTGTCGATATGGAGCACAGTGCCTCGACACCGATGATGTATGGAAGCCCGTTCTGAAGAACACCCGGCTGCTGACCACAAAGAGGGCGATCCAAGAAGCACTATGTCTCCAATGCCAGCACGACCACGAACACTGTCGTCTTGAAGGCTTCGCTCCGGGCTATGGCGTGAGAACACGCTACATGGAGGAGTACCAGCCAGGATTAGCCGCGACCTTGGCCGGAGCCCTGAGCATCGATGAGTCACCACTTCATTGGGAACATGTCCATGCAGCCACCGAGGAGAAGGATGTCATGACCTCCCTTGTCCGCCTCAAGGCAAGCACCAAGCAGGAGGCAATTCGCATCGTCCAACGGCTCCATCGAAACCTTGGACATCCTTCGGCAGAATCCCTGGCAGAACTCCTGGCTGCACGAGGAGCTTCAGAGAGCATCATCGAAGCCGCCAAGGGCTACACCTGTCTGGCATGCGCAAAGTACAAGAAGCCGGCGCAGGCAGCACCAGCATCCATGCCAACCTCCGATCAGTTCAATGATGCCGTACAGGCAGATGTCCTTTGGATCAAATGCGGCTCCACAAAGTATGCCATCATGTCCATGGTTGACACGGCCACAAGGTACACTGCTGCATATCTCCTTCGCTCTGAGGCCTCCGAAGAGTACATCAAGAGCCTGGAGCGCATGTGGATCTCACACTTTGGAGCACCCAACAAGCTGATCACCGACTCAGGCCGCCCATGGCTCGGGCACACGATGGACTCTTGGACAGCAGCCCACAACATCGACCACATCGTGGCCCCTGGAGAGGCACATGAGCGATTGGCCATTGTGGAGCGCCGACATGCTATGATTCGCAAGGCCGTCGAGATCTACATGAGTGACCTCAAGATCGATCACGCAGCTGGCATTCGAGAAGGGCTCACCTACATCGTGCCGCAACTGAACGCCACATCCTCTGTGGCAGGTTTCAGTCCATCTCAGTGGGTCCTCGGGTTTCAACCTCAGCTCGGAGGCGATCTTCTGTCCGACACCTTCCAACCGGTGCACTTCGGCGGAAACCCCAACTTTGAAGAGCTACTGACCAAACGTCATGCTGCCAAGAAGGCATTGCTAGATGCTGACACGGACCGCCGCCTTCGCAGAGCACTCGGCATGAAGTACAAGGGCATCAACACGGAGTACCAACTCGGCCAGAAGGTATGGTTCTGGAGGGATGCAAAACAGACCGATTTGGTCAAGATCAGATGGCTGGGACCAGCCCATGTGGTGATGAAAGAGTTCAAGGAGCCCGAACGTCCAGACAGCCAGGTGTCTGTCTACTGGCTCTCCTTCAAGACGCAACTGATCCGTTGCGCGCCACACCATGTGCGCCCAGATGTCAAGAACATCGCACATTCCCTGGAAGATACCCAGGAGGCCTTGAACCAGATCCGCCAGCTTCGCTCTCGAGGGGTGTCCAGGTATTATGACCTCCACAAGCTCAACCGCAGAAACCTGATTGACGTCGAGGATGACGAACATGGTGAGGCTGAACACCTGGAGTCCGAATCGGACCATGAGATGTCTCCACCACGACGCCGAGCACGGCTTTCTGTGGACTCAACACCTGTGACAGCTTCTGAGCCACCGGCACCAACTACACCAACGGCACCAGAGGCACCAGGCGCCGTTCCAATCCCAGGTCGGGATCCTGGAGCACCAGGCACCTCCGACTATGAGCCAACAGAGACTGGCAATGATCCTGCCCCAGAGGCCGCTGACGTACCAGTTGCAAGTGATGCATCACTGGCTGAACCCAGTGAAGAGCCTCCAGTGCCATCGGCGCGACCAACACCATCGCCTACTCCAAAGGCTGCTACCAGACCAGCTTTGGACCCAGAGACAGCATCACTATATGAACCAGCAGGCCCCGAGACCTTTCAACAGCAGAGACTCCGTATGAACCGGCAGGAAACACTCAGCTTCGCACCCTGGCGGAATCGACGCGGCCCGCCAGTGGAACCTTATCCAGCGCAACAACCAAGCACAGCAACCGAGGCAAGCTCAACCATTGACCATGGTTTCACGGTCGATGACATTGATGTCAGCCAGCTACCTCAAGGCTGGTATGTTGATGAAGAGGGCTATTTGAGCCTGACCGACCGAGTCACCGACTACTGGGAAGTCAAAGCAGGATGCCTTGTGAGACACCACCTGGTTCCACGTCGTGGCCGAATGCACATTGAAGCACTGCCCAAGGACTGTCCAGTCCCTCTGGAAGCACTCGACCGCATAAAGGTCACCATGGTTCACCAGCAAAGTGGCAAAAGCAGGCTTCACACCGACGACGGCGCCGACAGCACACCACCACCAGACACCAAACAAGCATGGACCGGATGCACGGTGTTCCAGCTAACCGGACCAACCCGGAAAGAACTGGCCATGTACACCAGTCAGCACCAAGCTCACACAAGCGCCAAGCAAGAAGCCAAAAGCCAGAAATTGGCTAAGGCAAAGAAGTTCAAGAAGGAAAAGAACGGGGTAAATGAGAGAACCTTGGGCCCTGACGAGCGTGCGCTCTTCAAGGAAGCCAAGGTGAAGGAACTCAAATCCTTCTTTGACCACGGGGTCTGGGAGTTCCAGCACAAGGACGATGCCGACGAGTCCAGGACTCTCACAGCCCGCATGATCCTCAAGTGGTCCAAACACCCCGACGGCAGCCCCAGAGCCAAGGCCAGACTCATCGTCAGAGGCTACAACGATCCCGATGCTCTAGCAGGGCAAGTGGCCACATCCAGTCCTACCACCACCAGGCTCAGCCGAAGCTTCTTGTTGTCTCTGGCCGCAAACATGTCTTGGTGCACATGGACGGCCGACGTGTCCACAGCTTTCCTCCAAGGAAGACCACAGAGCCGCAAGCTGTGGGTGAAGCTTCCCTCCGAGAGTCTTCAACTTCTCGGCGCCGATGAGGACACGAGGATGTTGCTGCTCAAACCATGCTATGGTCAGATTGATGCACCGAGGGGCTGGTATCTGGAAGCAGTGGATCGTTTGCTTCGAGCAGGACTTCGTCAACATCCACTAGATCCCTGCTGCTTCCTGGTCTATGAGGCCGACAGCCCAAGTTTTGATGTCAACGACTCAGTGCATCAAGAGGTGAGCAGCCTTGGTGAAGAGAAGCTGGTGGGAATGATCATCATGCACGTTGATGACATGTTGGGTAGCGGATGTTCCAAGTCACCCCGCTATCAAGAAGTGATCAGTCACCTCAAGGAAAACTTCTCCTTCCGGGAATGGAAGAACCGGCCCATGAGCGAGACGGTGAATGAACGAGAGATTTCTCAAATTCGAGGACTCCTGGGGTCAGTTCAATGGCCAGCCGTGCAGAGCTCACCACACTTGCAGTGCACCACCTCGATGCTTTCAGGTCTTATCAACAAGGCCACAGTGCAGACACTTCACGAGTGCAACCGTCTCCTCCGCTTCTGCAAGGACAACAAGGACGTAGGACTTACCTACAACTTCATTGGCAAGCCCGATGAACTGCAGCTCATCACCTTCTTCGATGCTGGCTTCACAGCAAGGCCAGATGGAAACTCACAGGGTGGCTTCGTCACCATGCTCGTGAACAAGAAGTTGTTTGCCTCAGCTGAAGAAGGCGAGTACCACGTGCTTGACTGGCGTAGCTTTCGAACGCCAAGAGTGGCACGCAGTTCAGTGGGAGCTGAAGCCCAGGCTGGCGGTCAAGCCGCCGACTCCGTGGACTTCACCTGCCGGTTTTGGGAACATCTCCTCAAACCAGGTCTCTCACTCCAAGAGCTCATCGAGACCAAGTCCACGTTGAGGCCCACCTTGGTCACCGACGCAAAAGCTCTCTACGACAGCTACCACAGGGAGGGCATCAGTTCGTCGGTAGTCGACAAACGGGTTAGCCTGGAGATCAGAGTCATGAAGGAGCGCATGGAATGCTTGGGCGGCGGACTTCGCTGGATGAGTTCAGAGCGGCAAATTGCCGACGGGCTCACAAAAGAAAGTGCCCGAACCTTGCTTGCCGCCAGACTCCGACATGGCCGACTGAAGCTCACCTGGGATCCTACGTACACAGCTGCAAAGAAGAAGACAAAAGCTGAGAGGAACAAGGCCATCAAGGAGTCAACGTCAAAGACGACAGCACCCACACAGACCTCAGACCTTCGGGACATGGAGAACCACATGGAAGATGAGCACCCCGTGTCCGAAAATGATGTGACTGAGTACTCCGGAGCCCAAGAGGACCAAGATGTTGTTGAGAACACCCCGGAGCTGTGTGAGTTCGTCTTTCACGTTAGGAATGACCAGACCCTTGAGTATGCTCTCGCCTCAAGCCATGTCGTCCGCAGCTTGGTTGCTAAGGGGAAGAGTCGTGTTAGCTATGCCATGTACATGTTGGTCATGTTCACCCTCCTCAGTTCTGCAACTGCACAAGAGGACACCTGTCCTCGAGGCCAGCCCATCCACGAGGAACAGGACCATTTGTCATTTTGGATCTTACTCCTTGGAGCTTGCCACATGGCTGCCATGATCGCGGTCTTCACTGTTGGAAGATGGACAGCGTCTCCCAACAAGCCCCTGGTGAAAGAAGCTGGAGTTCAAAAGGAAGAGCAACTTGTGCCTCAGCGCTTGTGAGAGCTGAACAAGTCCCTGAAAGATGACCTGGAGCAGGCAAACCGCCATGCTCAGCAGAGCCTGGCCGCAGCTAGAGAAGCGCGGGCAGCCTTGGCCCTTCAGGAGCCAGAGCTGAACGAACTCCGAAGGATCGTTCAGGAGGGCTACAGCCTGGTCCAGGCCCTTGAGAAAGAGATGGAGCACCACAGCGAGATGTGCCCGTTCAGGCACGAGATCTATGTCTCGAAGAAAGGAGACTGCTGGCACGTGGCAGGATGCCACATCACCCCCCAGATCGCCGAACACAATCTGGTGGTCGTTCGGGGCTGCGCTTACTGTGCAGGCTGCAATCCTCCGCCTTTCAGGCATTTTTACCCAGGAGGATGGTGCATTCATGATGACATGCACCAGTGGCTTGACGATGCCTCAAACCATTTGGCATCGATGACTTTTCCCTCCGTGTGAAGACACACGCTGTATGTCTTGTTGGATCACCGCACCCGCTCGCAGAGGGCGGGCTCAACTGCCAAAAGAGGCGCACCCGGGCGCGACGATTCGGTTCGTCCTTGCCTTCGATTTCGATCGATCGTTCTTTGCACTGGAGCTGACTTCGTTCGCAGCTACCACGTCTTCATATAACGAATTCAATTCCTTCTTCCCTATAAGAATCATTGGACCCTCCTATGGAGGGTTTTGACCCTGCATAGCAGGGGTTTGGACCCTCAAAACCTTCACCTTTGAGGGTCCTTGATTCTTAGTAGGGTTTAATCTTTGGCTCGATGACGAACCCAAGCGCTACCTGGGCTCTGCCCAGGTGTTGGGTTCTTTGGGTTTTTTGGCCCCGTTTCGACCCGACCACGAATCAGACATGGGACCCGGTCCAGGCCGTTGCCCTTCAGCCACCTGCGGATCCGCAAAACCGCCAAAACTTACGCAATCAGACATGGACGAGATGCGCGTTTTCCATGGAAAGATCCCATCTTTCCATACCATCCCTGAGAATCACATGTACCTCCCGAGGGCCTGGTGGGGCCCATGCCGCCCCCGGGCGTGGAACGCGCGGCGGCGCCGGCGCCCAAGGCGGGGGGGGGAACCGGGTGGCCCGGAACAAGGTGGGTCTTGCAATATAGAGGAGTCTTCCAGCACCACCCATTTCTGGTGGTTAGATGAGAAAATACATCTGACCTGGGGGGTCTATGAACCACCCAGGTCGGGTGGTGGTGCTGGTTGATGATGATCATTTCAAGCCTCCTGGTCGGTTCGGCCTGAGGTTTTGATATGTCCACGTCGAAAAGGGGGGGGGTGGAGACACGGTGGAGACGATGATATTCCTTGTCGACGATCCAGCTGGTCCATGAGATGTTGTGGTTTCTGTTGTTGCGTTTGTTCCTGATCCAGCGAGAGGATGGTTCGAAGGGCACCCAAAGTCATCCCAAGTTCCGCCAAGTTTGACGTTGCTTCGTGCTTCTTTTGCATGGTGCTTGCGGGAGGCCGGTCGAAAGCACTGCTTAAAAAAAGAAAAAAACACGAGCCTGAAGAGTCGCGCCGTTAGCCCAAGAATGATCGGGCACCCACAAACAGGAAGTCGCAGTGGCACACATGCTGAACGTAGACTGGGCAACAAGCGTTTCATCCTTTAAAACACCATGTCATTTTCTTCGCTTCACGTGACCGAGGAAGAACGCTCCACATTTCTTGAACTATGCCATTGATAATTAGGGGTTCAAGAACCGTTGGAAGATACAGTATGCGTCGACGCATGTTTTTGCCTTTGGTCGACAGAGTTCGAGCGGATCTGGACCGGTGGACGAGACTTTGCGTCGCATGCAGACCGGTTTTCTCTTGAGATGCTTTGAGATGCTTTAAGCGTCTATCAACATGTAGGTCATGTAGTCCAGTTCCATGAGTTGGGATCGTAGTTTGGGATTCTTGGGATAGTTGGGAATGTTTGGGGATGAGTATGCGGCAGTTTGTCGCACAGCAATAACTTAAACTATTTAAAACCCTTCGACCTCTTGGCTAGTCAACAACGAGCAAAGGGCGTGTGATTCCAGGAGAGAACTATCGACGTGTACCATGTACTAGAACAATTTCACAATCCCAAGGGAAGGGCGGGTCAGGCTTTAACCTTTGATTATGATTTGGTTTGATTCAGCAACCCCAGACACTCCACGCATGGAATGCAATACTTCCATTCAGCAACCCCAGTCTGTCTCGATGACCAGCGGCCAGGCCAAGTCAGCATCCGCCGCGCCAGCGACCGCGCCCGGGAAAGGCGCGTGGGTGACGCGAACAGGACGGTTTTTTCGCGGCCAGGGCGGTCAAAGCTTCTTGAGTGTGGTTGATTTCTCCGGTCGGAGGGCCCGGAGACTTGTAACGTCTTTTGATGTAATTCGTGTTAACAGTAATGGCCATGTCCCGAAGCAAGAACACAAAATGATGGGATGGGAGGTGAACACCCGCGGAGAGTGGAAGGGTTCAGGACATGGAGAAACTGTGCCAACACATGAGTCGCAGGGTTTGTCTTCGTTCTCCAAGCATCCCATCGGCCTCAATGTATCCACCGGATGTCAGCTGAAATGTTTGCAACTTAAGGGTGAACTATGTGGCCTCCTGCATCACCCAGACACTATACATGGAATTATGTAATATATATTAATAAATCAATTTAGTACCAGGACCTCCTAAAGGGTGTCTATTTATAGCCCCTTAGTAAAGGGTGTCCATGAACCACTCCTTGGGGGTCCTGGTATGCAGTTAATTTATAGCTGCTCTGCTCCGGAAAGCTGGACCAGCCTCAGGGGCTCCCAAACGCCGGGCCTCCGCCGCTCGATGCCTCCTCAGTCGACTCAGGGGAGGAGTCCGGGGACGAGGAGGAGGACTCAGATGAGGAGACGCCGATGAAAGGCATGATGCAAGGTGCGCACTGACGAGGTCAATCCCAAAAGACTCCCATGATTGGAGGCATAAAAGGACCGAACCAGTTGGGACTGAGTCACAAATCAGGCCAGGGGTGGTTGATTTCACGGGTCCAACGCAGTGTTTGGGAATGACTGCAAACGATGGACCGTCTGAAGAGATTTGTCATGTCGCTTGTCGCTTCTACGAGACTTTTTGGTCGAGCATCATCCAGAGGTCTTCACCCACCACGTGAGGTTGTAGTGGAATTTGAGGCTGTGTGGGGGCTGGAAAAAGAACAGGCGGACAATTCATTGACCTACATCTATACCTAGACACTCCATGTATGCCATATATTACATGCCTACATTGGGATGGTTTGGGGGGTCAATGTCTGAGCAGGGCATTCAGCGATCTCACCAAGAGTTTGTTTCCAGCGCTGCTCACTTTCTGAGCAATCACTCAATGTAGGCATATTTGGCATACATGGAGTGTCTGGGATAGGAATCTAGGATCATCCAGGGCAACTGATGGGGTTCAGAGTCTTTGGAGCATTCTGAGTGGTGATGTTGGCATCAGACTCGGCCATGGTTCCATGTGTGAGTTCTTCGGCGACCTCTTCTTCAAGTTTCATAGCAGTGTGGTTGAGAGGCGAATCGTTTGGACTTGAGAGTGGGCGAAGGGGCAAAGTATGACGCTTGACAGATCGCCGAATTACTCCTTATAAGCAGGTCAATCTGATGGGTCGCCTCCTCTTGACTCTTTGGATCACAAAGACTCCAAAGTCGCAGAACAAGACCGCCCTACACTGCGTGTTACACTGCGTGTTCTGACTTCATCAGGTTGGCGCTATGTGCAAACCTTTTTGATCCCTCCATCTATGTTCCTCGCGTCATGTGTGCCAGGCATGATGGGCGGTATGCCGGGCTGCAGCTTGGAAACAGCGTTGTCAATTGGTTCGGACACGGACACGCTGTTGTTTGTTAATGTTTGGTTTCCTTTTTTTCACGCCCATTTGACCTCTTCCTGGATTCATGTCAAACCTTGGCCCCCTTCTCCTCAAAATGAAGACAAAAGAAGTGGACCATCGAGAAAGACACGTCTCCTGTTCGGGAAAGAACAAGCAACACCGGGGAAGAGAACAACACCTATCCACACCCCCCGACCGGAGTTTCCTCCACGAACCGGTGGGTGGTTCGGTTTCGGTGTTTGGCATCGATTCGATCGGTTGGTGGGGGGGGGCGTCTTCCGGACAAGCCGCTTTCATACGTGGTGGGTCAATCGTGTGGTGTGTGGTGTATGACCGGGGTTTGGGGCACCGCAAGAAAAAGAGAAAAAGACAGGGTCCAGCACCACCCAAAGGGTGGTTTATAGACCCGCCTCGCAAAATACATCTTCATCCAATAACCACCCTTTGGGTGGTGCTGGGTTGTAACAATACATCTCAAATTTCAACTGGTCTTTTTCATGGTGGTGAGGGATCATCGATGATCCATGGAGCTCTTTTTGTTGGAATAGGGTCTCACCCCCAAGGACCACTGCGGAGACTCCCAAAAAGGGGACCCAACCGGTCCCAGCCCTTTTGAAAGTCGAAGGGAGAGCGCTTTCTTGGCCCTGCTGCACCCGTTGAGCTTCGCCCGTTTGGCCCGGAAAAGCCAAACCCTGCTAGGTTGACCTGTCTCGTCTTCTGACTCCATTCACGTTCGGTGGGAAAGTCTGGGTTTTCTCCTGTGCCATGACCCACAGGCGTTTGGGGACCAGTCAAGGGGGCCCCAACACTGGTTCTTTGGAAACTTCTTCTCTTCCATGGGCACAGACCTTGTCCCACCAGGTGAACATTGAGGAAACGAAAAGAGTCAACCAGGCCATGGGCCATCTCATGAACGACCAGACAGGATTGGAGATGCTTTTCCTGGGACCCTTTTGCTACTCATAGTCAACTGACTATATAAAAGCCCTTCACCCATTTCTACCAGAAGATGTGATTCTGTTTCAATCTTTATCTTTCTTCCCTGAAACCATCCGAGGCCCGAGGCCTATGTTCGGTTGTTGTCCTTGTTGTCAGGGAATCTCCGCAGGACCCAAGGCCCAAACGTTTGAGAAGGGATACAGATACAATATGATGATCCAATATCGTGTCGTCACATCATCCGTTCGTGCCAGTCCCATGACTGGGGCAGAACCCCTTCCGCCAAAGAAACCGATTTTCAAGTGGAGTTATTATATACTCCATACACACCCCAAGAAAGCAGAGATGCTTCCTGATCCTGATGAAATGGAAGACTCCACTGGTTTTTGATGGGGTATCTCCATCACTCCATGACCTCCCTTCCAAAGCTCCGACGCTCCGAGGCATGGGGATGATGATGCCGATGATGTCGGGCATGACGCTTGGTCCCATCCCGGGCCCGCGGGGGTTTTGGGAACACGGGTGAAACGAAGGCGGGTCCAGCGGATCCGCGGGGATTTGGGAAGGGCGCTGCCGTACACCATGCTCACCAAACGCACGTGGTGAGCCAGACTGGACTTGAGTGTTCTGCAGCTTTTGACCAAACGCAGCATGTACTACTTATTCACATCCTTGCTTTGCTTGTGAGTCAAGACACAAATTATTGTATATACATATATATATAGTATAGGTATAATTCTAGATGCCTCAAAAACGTTTAGCTGATGATTTCTCGGGGTCTTTCCTATTCAGTTCACATAGAGCCCCAAACCGGTGAAATGCTCGGACTGGAGGGCTGAGCTGGATGAAGACTTAGATCTTCCAACTATGCTTCTGCAGAACTTGGCTGGTTTGATAGATGAGAAGGCAGAATATGCTTTGTTTTCCACAGTTGGAAGATCTGAATGAACAGGAAGAACCCGCAAGATTTATGAACCGCTGTGGACACCTTTGCACAGATAGATCTTTCTGACCTCAGATGTCGCTGTTCTTTGTGAGCTCCACAGCCGAGGATGTCTGGCATGATGATGCCGGGCATGATGGGGAACATGCAGGGCTGCCAACAGGGCTGTGGTCAGGGCTGCGGTCAGAGCAGTCAGGGCTGTCAGCCGAGCTGTAGCCAACAGGGCTGTGGTGGTTGCTGTTGCCCAAACCCGATGGGATCCACCGCGCAGATGGGTTGCCCCAACCAGATGGGTTGTCCAAGCAGCTGTGGGTGTCCGGGCTGCGGGACCCAGATGGCAAGTCACCCAGCGGGCCCAGGCCAAATGGGCTGTGGGTGTCCGAATCAGATGGCAGGCTGTGGACCGATGGGTTGTCCAAACTCAAGCTGTGGTCCCATGGGCTGCTGTGGCTGTGGCCCCATCAACTGTGCTAGCGGCGGTGGCTGCGGAGGGTGTGGCTGTGGCTGCGGTGGCTGCGGAGGCTGTGGCGGCTGCGGAAACTGTGGTAGCTGTGGTAGCTGTGGTGGCTGTGGCGGCTGTGGCGGCTGTGGTGGCTGTGGCGGCTGTGGCGGCTGTGGTGGCTGTGGGGGCTGTGGGGGCTGCAGCTGTGGTGGCTGCGGAAGCTGTGGCTGTGGTGGCTGCGGAAACTGTGGCTGTGGTGGCTGTGGAAGCTGTGGCGGTTGTGGGGGCTGTGGCTGTGGAGGGTGTGGCTGCTGTGGCGGCTGCGGGGGCTGCAGCTGTGGCGGCTGTAGTTGTGGTGGCTGTGGTTGCGGTGGCTGTGGTTGCGGTGGCTGTGGCTGTATGGGATCTATGGGTTCTACGGGCTGTAGCACAGGTGTCCAGCCAACCCCAGCGATCGGAGGAGACAAGAGCATGCCCAGCGACAAAGAAGGAGCCAAAGGCTCAGTTGTGCGGGAAGAGGTTGAATTGGAGCTTTGGAATCCAGGTTGGACACGAGCACCTACACTCCTGTATCGGCCCCTCCAGCCCGAGGTTTGCTTTGGAATTTTCGAGGATGTTCGAGTTTTTTGATGATCCAGTTGCCCGATGTCTTTTTACTTTAATAAACACACAATTTCAATATTGGGGATGTTTGGGATGGATGTGTCGCCAGTCAAAGTGGGCTTCAACAAACATCAACAAACAAAGCACAAATAGGGAGACCCTCAAAGAAACCCTGATCAATCTGATTAAAGGACAACTCCCGGGTTTCCAATTGAGGGAAGGTGCGGTGTTAGGCTGGATGGATGCTCCTTTTTGTTTGCTTTGAACGAAGCAGATCACTAACATTGGAGCTTGTGATATCTCATGACTCATCGCGAACTGGCCACAGAAGGATATATCAATGGACTTGACCAGATGATGTCCAAGTGCTTCAAAAGCCACTTCTTGTACCCAGTTTCTTGCACCTGCCATGCCTCCTGCAGGCCGCGAGCGCAGCCGCAGTCGAGACGCGAAGGAGGAGGAGCCTGGAAAGGCCTGGCTTGGGGCGGTCACCGAGTGACAGGAGCGAAAGCAGATGGCATGTACAAGGCTAGGGGGATTCGCCTTAGTGAAGGCAGGCTTTGTTTGGGATTTGTGAAAGGCAGTAGCGATCTGAAGAACCTCTCTCACGTCATACAGTTACCCGAGTCTGCAGCCACGGCCAGTTTCTTTTGGCAGGGCAGATACTGTTGTCAACCTGTGGTTTGTCTTAAGATTGGGAGACCACGGACCCAAATGCTAAGTAAGACATGCAAGGAAACTGCAAGGACATTCTCAGTCATCCTTATAGGACATACAAGAAAATGCTACTGGTAAATACGATGAAACAATAAGCAAGAATATAATCAGCAGACTCCCACATGCCATGATTTTTTACACCGAGCCTGGCCATGTCTGCTTTTGAGAGTCCAAAAGCAGAAACGCTTTGCCGCGTTCGTTCTCTGAAGGCTTTCACGAAGGACGTCGTGTGAGGAGATGCCCATCCCCATCGGAAGGATTCGTCACTTTAGGAATACGAGAGCTGCGCTCCGACTCACCAGAAGTGGAACTCCCCCCATAAAGGAAAGTCGTCTTCCAAGGGACCATTTTCCACTTCCGTGAGTGAGCGGGGACCTCCGCAAGGGTTCTTCCTCCAATGTCTCCAACAATCAGATGAGCGACACCAGGTGAAATTGGACGTGACCTCAGACCCTGAGCTCTTTTCGCCCATTTTGCGGTGCAGGCCTGACCCGTCGTGCTGCAATGACCCGCCTGAGCCGCTGAAGAGCGTCCCACTTTACCTGCGAGCGCCCGTGGGAGAAGAGATGTGCCGCTGGAGAGGGGAGGATCGAGGATCGGAGTGGAGGTGTTTCACCTGTTTTCAGTGTAATCTGGGAGCTTCCAGACCGGACCACCAACCTAAAGGGTTTCGTGAAAACACACACAGGACGACTTCATTGTTTGTAGCTGTGGAGCTCTGAGAAAGACCTTTTCATGCCCAGACGCTCCAAACAGCCCAGACAGGGATTGGTGAGAAACCCCAGACTCCTTGACCCAAGGATTCGGTTGAGGGTCCAGGGTCGTGACGGGGTGTTTCGTATCTTTTCATCCAAGAAATCCTTCCGGAACCAGCTTCGAACCTGACCCTGAACCAGGGTCTGAACATGGTTCAACCGTCTCTAAATGAACCAAGATGGACACATGGTCATGGTCATCCACTAGTCACTACGAGTAGGAAATCCATACTGCCTTCGCGGAAACTGCCAGTTCGAGTGAGCGGAGGTCTAGACCCCGTTGGCACATAAACGAGGTGCCCCTAAACATCCCTAATTTATACCACCATTGATATATATATATATATTATAAATATATTGCTTAAGGATTTTGCACTACACAACCTCAACTTTTTAAACATGGTATTGGACCTAAGGTAGGACGTCCTTATTGTACAGTCTATACATTCGTCTCCGAGTCGGGCGTCGTCGGGGCCTCACCCGCCGGGACACACCAGGAACAGAATAAGTATTCTGTTTAGCCTTCAGGTTGTCTTGAGGTCGGACCTTGTGTTGTCCAAAATCAATTTAAGGGTTGTAACAAACAAGAACAACTGAATCAGGCTCGGTGGACGTCGTGATCGCACGCACGTGGCTTTTTTGATGCAGCTGTGTGGTTCATGAGGGCTTCAAGATGAGCGCAAGGTCGCAGGAGCGAAAACCCCAGTCACTGGCAGAGGAGTGCAGGGTCGCAGAAGCTACGAGTTTACTGAGCCCTCCCAACGTAAACAGTAAACTTATAAACCCTGGGCATTGAAATGCCTCCCTTGTTGCTTCTTTCACAGTCTTGGGTTTCAAGTTTCAACCACCTCAGACGTTACCCAAAAGTTGTACACTTCCAGATTCCCAAGTCGACATGCCCAAGGACTTCGCACCACGAATTAAGTCGTAGAAATCTCACTCCGTCCACCGTGCGTCTGGCGCAGCATGTGCCACGTGCTGCCAGGGTCGGGGTCGGGGTCGAGTGTGTGTCGACTCGGACGAGCACGGTGCCGAGCCTTTCCAGAGACCCTGACGGTCCTGAGAGGTCCTGAGAGGTCCTGAGAGGCCCTGACGGTTGGCATGAGGAAATCCCTTACCAGCCACCGCTGAAGAAGGATCCCAATGATGTCAATCTGGGGGATCACTCGGCGAAGCGGTTTCTTTCAGATCCGAGTCAGAAGCAGAAGCAGATGCTGAAGATGCTCGCAACATTTTTCATATTTTTGCACTTGAAACCTTGCACGTTTGGATGAAGCCAGCTGAAGTCAGCCACTGAGGCTGTGTATCTCAAAAACACATGGCTTGGTTGGCCTTACCCTCAACATTTGCCCCTAGGTCTCGCTGAAGTGTTTGCGCTATTACACAAACACCTTTAGGGTTCGTCCGTCCAAAGCACAATCTGGAAATATTACAAATCACTTTCCTATATATAAGTATAATCTAATGGTGCATTTCAAGCTGCAATGCCTGCAGGAAATCCCGAGCCATCCGTAGAACCCCTCGCTCTCAATTTGCTAGGCTCCCTCACAACGACATACGGGGTATACCGGTATACCCATTAAAGCCTTTGATCCCGTTCAACTTCCGAGGCTTTCGTACCAAAGAAGCACACGAAGCCCAACAATTCCCAGACGCTCCATGTACACGATTATGGCCTACATTCGGTGGTTTTGGATGGTGAAAGTAGGCCATCTTGCCCACAACCATATATTTTCCAAAGCCTTCAAAAAGCCTTTAATGGATGGGCGCAGCGACTTGGTGAAAAAAGAAACACTTCTACGGTTCATTGCGGTTCGGTGTCTCTTCGCCTGTCCAACTCTAGGGACTCGCGTGGGTTCGGGGGACGAGGCGTTTCAGATGCTCTTCGCACTCGTGCTCCGCAGCTTGCGTGGCTGGCTGCACGACTATGCGCCACGCCAGCATTGAGAGATATTGATGATATTGAGATATATTGAGTATGGTGTGTTTTGATGTGCAGTGGAAAACCAGGGCAATGGCCGGGCCATGTTAATTGATGATACATCAAATTGTCAAACCATCCTGATACCGAGAATGGTTTTACATCATCTTCATCTTCATCAAAAAATAGTTATAGATTAATTCATGCAGTAGTCTGTATCACCTTTAGTGGGACGTACCTGCGTAGGGTTTCTATGATTCCAACTTAGTTGACCCCTTAGTCAACTGGCTCAATCCAAGCCCGTGAGATAGGAGGCGGTTGGAAGACGCACTCTGCGTTTCGGGAAGCGCTGTAAGGAAAGCGGCTGTGGCTTAAGAGTGTTCGCAGATCTGACGGACTGGTGCTGTGCGAGTACACGAGACGGACGAGATGGACTGAGTCAGAAACCACACACAACCCCTCCACTACGGAAGAAGAGGGACCTCCATGTGATTTGCTCATATTTGCTCTCATTGTCAAGCATATCATGTTGGCATTATATCTCCACTAGGAAGTTTGAGGTCGCCTGTGACTGGATGTGACACACTTGGCACACACTGGATGTGATTCCAAGCGTTCCCATGATCTGAAGGAAGAGCCACTTTAGATTGCATGTCGAATTCATGTGTCTGACATGCATGAGTTTGTTTGGGGAGGGTGCAACGACAACAACAAAAAACAAACACTACTACCACTACTACTGCTACTACTATTACTTCTATACTACTATTACTACTACCTACCTACCTACCGACCTACCCACCTACCTACCTACCTACCTTACCCTAACCTACCCTACCCTACCCTACCCTACCCTAACCTAACCTTACCTAACCTAACCTAACCTAACCCTACCTACCTACCTACCAACCTAGCTACCTAGCTACCTACCTAGCTAGCTAGCTAGCTACCTACCTACCAACCAGTACTACTACTACTACTCCTACTACTCCTACTCCTACTCCTACTCCTACTACTCCTACTCCTACTCCTACTACTCGTACTCCTACTCCTACTCCTACTCCTACTCCTACTCCTACTCCTACTACTCGTACTCCTACTACTCCTACTCCTACTACTACCACCACTACCACTACCACTACCACTACCACTACCACGACCACCACCACCACGACCACGACCACGACCACGACCACGACCACCACTACCACGACTACTACCACATACTACCACTACTACCACTACTTGTTTGTTGACAGGGGGCTTTTTGAAAGAGTTTGCTTCCAACCCCTCCTCGAGCACCCCAGGTTTGTGGGGCCATGCCCTCCATTGAGCCGCCAGTTCACGCACCCCAGCACCTAACGGGTGCTCGACCTCGAGGACCACCAAACCCGTGTGTAGTGATCCCACCAAAACCATCCAAATAGGTGGTGCTGGTGTACATTATATTCTATATAGAGGATTATATAGGTGTGGGTTTTAACATGTTTGAACGGTGTGTTCTACACCGGATCTTCCGTTCGTGACCAAACTTGATCCCCTGATAGGCCTGTCAAAGGTCACTTATCAGGGACTACAAAATGGTCATTGGGAAGATCCTGGTAGAGATTTAGAGCTGTATATGTATGAGCTGCACTGTGCGTGTTCTCTAAAATAGACACTCCCAGGTTGGTTTGGACTTGGACCATTCCGACTACGTCTTCGAGCATCTGAGCCACAACCACGTGCGCTTCGAGTTCAAGGCCCCGATGATTTCCTCGTTTGTTTTGCTTGGTCCTGGACCCGGAAGGCGGTGAAGATGATCGACCATGGTAGGGCCTAGGTAGTCCTAGGTTCTACAGTAACTGGGGCCGGAAATGCCGTTTTTTCATGGTTTTCTTCGTTGGAATCAAAGACCATCACTATCATGGTTTAGTCTAGGTCCAGGTGATCTCAAGAACGGTGACCATCACCTATTCAATGGGGGTCAACAATTTGGTCCAACTGGACCTCCTGCATTTGCATCCTTCGAGCTTTGAGCTCGGTTTTTTGTCAGAATTCACGGAAGACCACGTTGTGCTAAGACCTCTCGCCCCAAGATCCTGTGTCCCATACAACCTGTTTGGGACCTGTTTGTTTTTGCAAAACATTCCAGTGCTTGAAAAGGGGTGAATTGGGCGGGCAATATTCCATTCCTATCCTAGACACGACCGATGTGACTGTCATCTTTGCATACATTGAGGTGGTAGCTGGGGGGATTTTTTTGTTGGCATTTGTACAATACATGGAGAATCTGGGTATGGAGTGTTTGGCGAAAAGATTGGACCGATGAACCCAAGGCTTGCGGAGAGAGCTGGAATCGGCTTCTCGAGAAACAGGAAAGCCAATTTGCATCGGCCAACGAAAAAAAGAAGGGGAACATCCAGGAGGAGCTTCCATCCACTCCTCTGGTGAAGTATTCCAAGCTTCCAGTTCCGATATCAACTTCCCCTGATCACGCTTGCCAGTGCCCCAAAACCCTGAACTCCAAACCCATCCGCTCAAGGATGTTCGTGTCCTGTCCAGCCGGAGACGTTTTGGGCGAAGCCTCCAGCTTGGGAGAGGGCGAGGCGCCCTGTCAAAGCAACCACCTACTGATACCCACCGGTCCGGTGCACATTCACGGAACGATTCGTCCACAGAACCACACATGACCGTCATGACCCATTCAGGCGGCGATGCCAGGGGGAAGCCAAAGAACACATCCTCACAAACGAGATCATGGAACCAGACCACCAAACAACCCTCTTGCGCAGCATCTCCCCCAGTCTCTGACCGGTTGACACTCGGTCCGGCTGTTTCGCCGCTGTTCGGTGTCCCGAGGAGGTGGTGCTGAGCAGCGCCCTTTGGCGCTTCTTGGTGGGGCCCATTTTGCCGTTGACCGTGAAGGACGGCACCCTCCAGCAGGCGGAGAAGGGCCGGGGTGGAAGGGTGTAGCTAGCTAGCAGTGCTGCACCAGTGCTGGCGTATGGAGGGAAGAGAGACATCGAGGGGCCGGTGTGATCACACTCATATCTTTGCTGAAAGGCGAATCTGAGTGATTCTAGTGCCCAACACTTGGACGATTTCACAGTGTGCTATGAGGGCCATATGCTTACTAACTTCTCTAGAGTCCTACTAGTAGAGCCTGAGACACCTCTATTTTGGACCACCAACCATCCAAATTGTATTTTCCTATCAAAACAGAGGTCATCTCTGGGCTCTAACTTACAGTGCCCTTTGGCTGTGCCTCCACTTTCACCTTAACATGCGCGAAGCGCACCTGCTGGGGCATGAAAAGCACGAAAAACCTGACGTCCCACGTCCCAAGACAGATGTGGCACAAGGTTCTACCCGCTGTCGCAACATTCTGTCATGGTTTTGGCAGCTGAAACAGCCTGAACATGTTTCCTTGATCGATAACTCTGTGTACAGCACCAATGTCATCCCCATGGTTCTTTGTTGAATAACTGTTTGACCGTCAGATCTGAACTTCGGTGAACGAGATCCACTTCGCCTCATTCTTTATTTACATCAATACCCGAATCATCCTGAATCTGCTTCAAGGAGGTTTCTCCAACAAGCACTGTTTGGTTCTAGGAGGACACAAAGGAGCACAAAAATAGCCCAGCCGACCTAGCCCAGCCGTTTCGGAGAGCAGCGCTTTCCACAAAGAGACGTTAAGTGACACTGGGCAAGTCCGGGACTCCGTTTGGTGGTCGCCAGCACCACAGCTTGACCGCAGCTGATTGGGTACAAGGAGCAAGCGCTTTGTTGATCGCTTTGAAAAAGCATGCCAGTCGGGCGTGCAAGCATAAAGATCAACAAAGATGACATGTTTTTGACCGTGCGGGCTACTTGGATTCACTGCAAAGCTCTCATTTTCCTTCTCATATTTGGACGTGTTAGAACATGCCAATCTTTGAGAGTCACGGGCCCCCATCTGGGTCTTATTTGTTCTTGACTTCAACTATCTGCAAGGCAACAATCCAAGGAAGACAGCCAGGTTTAGATTTGTATCCATGATTGTTCTTTTTTTCATGTGAAGTATGTCCCGTTCGCAAAAGAGTCTTGCGAACCAAGGATGCTCCTTTCATCAAAGCACGTCAACATGTGGCAGCCCTAGTGGCGTCAAACCAATGCATCTTAGCCGCATCTCAATCTCTTGATCCACATGTCAGGATTATAATAAGTATAAGTTGACATCCAGTATAGTATGCCACGGCTGCATCTCAGTATAGTTGATCTACATCTTGCAGTTTTAAGGGATCGATGTGTATGGCCTGAGTACATGCGTATACTCCCCGTTAACTGTACCAGGCCACTTGAAGACCGTTATGCAGCAGACCTTGTTGTTCTTCGCTGCTGCGCGATATGGAGAAGATGATGAGGCGGCAAAGCTTGGTGTCATTGCAGCACCAAATAGGCTTGCTTTCGCGTACTTGGCATCAAGGTGTTGGTTGATGTGGCCACATCTTCCACGCGTAGCCACCACGTAGCCACGTAGCTTTTCATCCCTTGGCCAAGTCTCCTTGCTGAAAGCACAGTGAAGTTGCAGAGGCCCTGGAGCTTTGTGACACTCTCCTTCGGGCTGGAGTCCCGCTGAATCACCTCGATGCTCTTGGGCTGACATAAGGTCCAGAAAAGAGAGAGAGAGAGAGATGTATACCCTCCCTCCCTCCAACAATCATGAACAATCATGGAAGTGGAACATGGCACTGGAAAGACCCTTTTCCTCTACAAACAGGAATTGGTTGTCCATTTCCATTTTAGTTGGAGGGAGGGTAGAGAGAGAGAGAGAGACCGAGTGGGATTGTTGCAGCTACTATTGCGATATGCTTTGTACTTTCTGCCGCATGCCTTGGACATATTGAGGACAATCGCCAGACCGCACTGTTCTATGCGGCTCGCCAAGGGCACGTCAACACGTGCAACTTTCTCGTATACAGCAAAGCCAACGTAGACACACTTGACAAGTTCGGCGAGACAGCGTGGCTTGGTGCAAGGTTTCAAACAGTGGCAGCACTTTTCCTACTCCATTGCCTTAGACTTGCTTCCGATTTTTATTGTGTTAGTTTGCTTGAGGCTTTTTTATGCCGTTAAGCGTTCCAGAATCACTGCAGTGGAGAAGCTGCTCGACCACGGAGCCGACTTTGAGGCTGGTTCAATCATTGACGCACTGTTGTTTCGGAGCACCGATTCTGAACTACGACGGCGGACTTCGAACACGCGATGTAGGGTCGTCTCTGTAGGTCGTCTCTGGCAACATGCAGGTTACTGCAATGTTCTAATTGGTTCTGTTTGTGCATGTAACTGCAGACTGTGAAGTACAGCGGCAGACTCTGTGGCTTCAAGAGTTTGTGTTGAGCTTTTTCGAAATAGCTCGACTCGTGGAGTACACCTTCTTTCTTCGGGCGGCTCTCCCGTCCCGGGGGGCAGATTGTGAACCACAAGAATCACAACGTGATGACAGCTGCCTCGGACGAGCTGTGCGCCATCTTCCAAGAGGCCGGCTGCGCGCTCGGGGTGCGGAGCCGCGGCCAGGGGCACTTCAACCCCTGCCCTCTCTCTCCCCTTTCCAGGAAGGGTCCTCGAAAAATTCCCCGTGGTTGTGATCGTGTGGTTTCCTGTTCCGTGAAAGATCGGTAAAGACGTTCGTGAGCGAATCACTGTGAGTCAGCTCCAGCTCGGCTGGATGCCCCAAGGCCCGACGGGCCTGCCCTAGGGTTTCCACCAATCCCTGGTCCAAATTCAGCAAGTCGTTGGCGTGAGAAAGAACCGCCAAGGCGGCCAAGTTCCATCCGTCCTTTTTTGCCCTTCGTACGCCCTGTAATTAAATCCGCATCCGTCCCCTTCTTATGCACTGGTCATGGACTCAACCATCCACAGATCCTCAAGTGACTCATCATTATTGCTCATTACGAGCGCAAAGTGATGGAAGCAGACAACAGTCGAAGAGGATGGCCAAAGAAGACCAAGTAATCAAAGTGCATGGTACATCAAGATACCCAGTTCAGCAAGAGCTATGCATAGCAGCTATATGCAAGAGCTTGTGCTCGCATGCCTGTACTCAGGCCCGGAAAAAGAGGCGCCTGGAAGTGACCGAAGGCCAGGACATTCGTAGAGCAGGGATTGCCAGACATGCCAACATGTGACGTTGCCCCTGGTTTGTCGCTTGGGTGTATTTCCGAGTTGTGTGTTGCAAGTAGTTCGACTTCATTTGTTGGTCCCTTTTCCATTTTTGACAAATAGCATCAAATAGCATTCAATCATCAGTGCAACAATATATATATATATGATGAGTTGAAAATACATTCCTGCATTGTTTTTGCAATTGCCAGACCAATACCTTCGTGATTCTCACCGTGTTCGAAACGCGAAGCCGTCGAAAGTCCGTGTCAACCTTCGCATCAAACGAAGTGCACTCGAGGTCCAGTTGAACAACACAATAAGCGCCCACGAAGTGCGCTTGAGCAACTGGAAGCATGGGCCGATGAGTGGCCCATGCGTCACCCGAAGATCGAGACGGCGGACTTCAAGCAAAAGGACGGTTGACGAAATGTTTGGAGTTGCAGATGTGAAACAAGGGGACATATCGCCAGAACCAGTTTCTTCTCGGGCAAAGGTTGCATGGCTTTGCACGTTGTTTGACTGAGAATATGCAGTGCGAGGTGTATGGGGGCGGGGTGACCGAAAAGTGTGGGATGTTGGTACCCAAATTCTGTTGCATGTTTAATTGCAATGAGTGTGACGCAAAAGATGGCGTGAAGTTGCCTGACAAGGACTTGCTAAAGTCAGAGGGCGGATACTCCGTTGTCAAAGTGTCATCGCCCACCACCGCAGCAAAACTTCGGGTTCTGGAAAAGCACTTTGTTGTGGACCATGCAAAGTGGCTTTGGTTGCAAGTTTGTGTGTTTTGTGTGTGTGACGTCTACTGCTACCTTCTACTGATACCTCCTACTACAGTTACTACAGGTGATGCTTTGCATGGCCAAACTGAAGTTGTGAACTGTGAGGCTCATGCAACATGAATCATGGTTTGGGAAGCTCACCCATGAGCAATGGTCCAAATCCGTGGGCGTGTTGACAGATGCGCTACAGCCCCCGAATGATGCAGTGAAAGGGATAAAGGCGTGGAGCGTTGCAACGGCGCAGTCACTCTCCAAAATGACATGTTTTGCGTGCTGTTTGCGTACACGGATGAGCTGCATCGTGTCACAAGCATTGTCAAAGCATGAGTAGAGACTGTGCCTGTGCAGAGTCATAAGAGACATGGAGGACTTGGAAGAGGGATGTCATGTCAAGTAGAATGAAGTAGACTTTAAATCATGTTAAGATATGTTCAGTGATTTTAACTATTTTTAGTGAGGAGTGCAGTGCATGTGTGACTTCCAGCCGGGGGTTGCTTGGAACCGCCGCCAGACAGTTCTATCGGATGCCAATCCACACCATTTCACTCTGCCGGCCATCGAGACCGCAAACAAAGACGTCGCCGGGTACATCCATTGCACATATGCAGAGGACAGTAAGGTTTCGGTTCGGTGGTGGTTGGAACATGGACGGTTGTTTACATTCGGTTCCTGCAAAAACTTCGGTTCTTGACAGTCGCAAACTCCCAAAGTTCGGTTTCCGAATCGATTCGGGACCCTTCCTGAGAGGAAAAGAAGGCCCTTAACATTTCGCACATCAAAGTTGCTCGGACGAAACGAGCTCTCCAGCCAGTTGGTAGAGAGCAAAGGGATGCATCATGACTTGTTTAATTGTTCTCTATGCCTTTTGGGTGTAGAAGCCTTCGGAGGGCTTGGCAAGAAAACGCACATTTAGCTTTCTGTTGGTGCAATGGATAGCTGTCGGGCAGCCCTCAGGTTGATTCACAGCATGCCGGCAGAGGCATCGGTGGGCTCCTCCTAAAGGCAGCTGAAGACTATAGCCATCGAGACTCGGCAGCGGCAGAGACTTTCCAAACACAATTGCTGCGTTCTAATGCAACATGTTTGGAAGGAGGATGAAGGGCTGAGCGTTCTAGCCGGTTGACCGCAAGCCGTCCTCGAACAGACAGGTCATGAAAACAACAACATTACCCTGAACTGAGGATTGGGCTGGAAATGTGAGACAGTAGAGCTAAGTGTGTTAGCCAGGAACCAGCGTGCCATCCGCTGCTATGAAAAAGCTGGCTTCACTTTTAATAGTGAATCAGATGCAAGTTGGGGACCAAAGGAGTTCTCGGCTTCTAAATGGCAAAGGTTCAAAAAGGTGCACAAGCACCATGTGAAGAAGGGATCCAAGAAAGGACCCGACGAGTTTACCAAGCAGTGATGTAATCTTGAACGCAGTTTCACCCGGTTGCCGTTTGGAGCTTGACAGCATTCCTGGTATAATAGCTTAGAAACTATATGAATTTATACAATTTATAACTTAATAGTATTAATAAACACATACAGTAGTGCTTTGAAGATTTGGTCAACCTCAAAGCAAGTTGTTTACAACCCAACACCATGATTCTCAGTGGCTTGAACTGGTAGGCAAAGGCCGAGGCAACTGTCACCCAGACTAATATATGTGCAGATGGACCGGGATGCAATTTGAGTAACAGACGTGCCACAGCTAAGCCGGCTCGTAGTTGTACGTACTGCTTGAAGATTGAAAGGTGGAGAAAACAAAGCTTTTTATCGCCCGCGTGCGCTGCTTTGTGGCTGCTTTGATCCACAAGTGTACGACATGCTCTCTAGATCATGCTAGATCCATTGCTTTCAGTTGCGGATTCTCAGACTGAATACCGACTCCAAAAGCCGAAGTGGCGCAGTTGTTTGGTATTTTTTTTCAGGAAAGAACACAGTGATGCAGTGGGGACCTATTGGTCGTGATTGTTGTGCGAAAGAAGCTGTGATCGCCTTTCATACCAAGGGTACCAGTTTCAGGAGGGCTAGTTGCTTACTAGCGGCTAGTTGCCGCATGTTGCCGTCACCGTTTCTATCCAGGCATGCTACGTTTCGGGATGTTTGTTGGAGGAGGCTGCTGAAAGATTCTCGTAACAGACAGAGATCCTCACTGGAGGGAGTGGCACTGCACCAAGATCCATTTGACCGGGGAATGCATCCCAGACCTTTCAGAACAATCCCCGATGGAAGAGAAACCCAAACTCTGTAAAGTATTCATAAGTATTCAACTGTAAATCTGGGTGTGGGTCAACAAACCCCCATGTCCCATCCTGTATATGTCGCATATATCCAAAGTTTGCGTGGTTTATCCAGTTTCAGTAATCTTCTTGCCACTTTGAACCCCCAAATCCATCCACTGACCCGATCCGTTCCTTCTCTGCGGGCACGAGAACATCGCAACCTTCGACTTGTGCCAGGTGAAGGTCGAGATCAACAGCGAGAGGCGCTGGCGCACGGTGCGCCAAGAAGCCCCACTCCGATTGAAGGGCTTGGGTGATTTCGTGGACTGTCCCTCCGGTGAAGGCCGGAAGACAGGAAGATGGTAGGTGGCGACTGGATTTGGTGACGGTGATCCGACTTGGTGGATTTGCGGGCAGATTTCATTCTGAAGGCGGAATGCTCCAACGCACAGGGTTTGACAAGCCAGAATCCTTGTCTTCCAGGATTCTTCTTCTCAGTAGCTGAGATTCGGCTTGTTTTCACCTGCAATAGGGGTGAATGAGACCGACATTTCGCCACCCCCTTCCCCAAATCCTCCATGTCGTTGGCGTTGTTTTCCCTGGAATGCACGGACGGCAGCAGCCTCATCGGGTTCTGGGAAGATCCGGGAAAAAGAGGAGTTCACCGGTCTCACCGGGTGAAGGACCCTTTTGACCTTTATCATAGGAAAAGGATGGAGCCTAGGCTGGAGATAGATCCTCCAAAACAAAGGTCACTTAGGTTCTAGGTAGACTCACCTTTCAGATGAACCCTTCTGAATATCACCTCTTCCCTTCCAGAGTTTAGTGGAGGCCAAAAGCTCACGAAACGCCCCTGCAACACTCGGAGATCCCTCGACGGGAGCATCGGCGCTTCCAGGATCGCCGTGGAGATCAGTGGAGTGGTGCTCCGGCTGCGGAAGCTGCAGCCTGAGGAGGGGGCACGACGGGTTGACGGAATTTTAGGCGACATTTAGAGGAACAAGGTACAGTATAACATAATGTAAGAAATACCCAGAAATAAAATCAGAGAGGATTGGGGTGCAGCATTCCAGGCTAGGGAAGCATGATGTATAGACATTGCTGAAAAAAAAAGGACACCTCGTGTGGACAGCAGCATGGTTTAACCTGCTTTGAGCACCACTCTTGAGGTGCTCAAATGGTTTCACTCGTTGAGCAGGCGTTTTGTTGCTCAAACGGTTTTGCCAAAGCGAGTCACAGGTCACAGGTCGACCAAAAGAGTGGTGGGGGCCGTGGTTTCTTTTTTAAAGATCACCATACCCCTCAAAATCATGGTCGACCATTTTTATAATGGTTGATCTATGTTGATCAGGTATGATCTGGTTTTGTAATGTAAAACCCTTATAGTAAAACAATGGTGCTTCGGTAAAGGCTATTAAAACCATGGTGCTTCGACTTCTAGGGATACCATCCACTGCGTTCCTGTTCATCTCTCGGATCCATACCGAGCTCTTTCACGGGTGAGGCGATGAAAGAAGGACAGAAGGAGCCTGGTATGCTGCGACCACCTACCTTGGTATGCTGCCAGTCCTGTGGGTGGTGTTTGGGTTGAGGGACATTTGCTTTCTAACTGACTTCGGCCTTTCGCGTCTCCCGAGTCGCAGCAGGAGTGGCGCCCTGAGGCGGAGGCCTACAAGACCAGGCCGAAGCCCGTGGTCGACGACCTGGTCGTCAATTCCCATGGCGCTAGTGGCGGATCGCGGGTGGTTGGGGGTGGTTGGGGTCAATGTAAATAATGCCTGGTTTGGATGTTGCTCCCCCTGCATCTGATACACCTGATCACTTGAATCAGATGATTGTGAAGCATACACTCCCTGAGATGACTAAGTCTTACTAAGTCAAGTGGATGGCAGAAAACCGGCATGGCCTTGAAAATCGGATGACGAATCCGAAGACCAAACAGGTGGTGTGCTCTCCACTTCCATCGTGATTTAATACTCGTATGTTCGAGTTATACAACCTTCAGCAGTCCCAGTCTCGGTTCGTGTTATAGACCCCCCTGAAGATGTATTTTCCATCTATAATAACAACCCTTTGGGTGGTGCTGGTATAGAGGAATTGGTCGAGCCCCACACATCAATTCTGAGGTTCCATGTTCGTTGGCCAGGGGAGAGACACCCAGCGGGGCGGGGGCTCCGCTCCGTTGACCGCCTTCATTAACGGGCGAGACGGAGCGGCGTTGGTTCGTGTTCACGTCCGAACGGATTTCAGATCGATTTCGGAGCCCGAAGCAAGCCATGTGGATCATGTGGATGGTCCGAACCAGGCCGAAGACAGCATGGGTTCCCTGCAGTTGATGGAACATCTGGCCACTCAAAAAGTGGGTGTCAATTGGCCTGGCCTTGAACTGCCAGGGGTGGGTTTTTCGTGGCAGTCGATTGCTCTTCCACTTGTAGACTCGCTCGTTTCCTCATTTCACCGGGGGGGATTGTTCTGCATGTGGTCAAATTCCAACAGCAGCGTCGTCGTCCTGTTGAAGAACGATGGTATACCACCCACTGAAGTAGGGAACTTTGGAGTCTGGATACACCGTCTCTACCATGTTCCGTTGTTTTTGTTGCTTGCTCCAGGTTCACCACACAGTTTTTTACTCCAAGTAACCCCCAGATTCAACTGTTGTGATGGAAGAAAGGTTCATCACCTCCGAACATCACAGTCTATAGAGCAATGAACATCCATGAACATCGGGCTGGACGTGCTGCCAATTTCTCGGCAAACGATTGGGCATCGGTTCGACCCCTGCGGACCTCGGTTCGTCCCCCCATGTGGTGGTCGAAAGAACGTGATACATATCCGGTCGCATGAAGGAGCAACACCTCCAGGAGTTCCAAGTTCCGTGGCTTCGCTGATCGAACAGACGTGGCTTCGCTGGTCAAGACGAGTTTCAAGGCCTGTGCCCCCCCCCACACCAAATCCCTTTCAAGTCCAGTCATTTTACCAGATTCTACCCCAATGGCTAGTGGTGGATGGATTGACTTCCTACCAGGTGGAGTAGTTCATTTTCGTCCAGTCGACGGAAGTTCCGGGAAAAAGGAAGACCCCCCTAGCTGTCCAGGACACCCCCCCTCCGTCGCCACGTTGGCAGAGCCTTTTTGTGGGTTGGATCCACCTCCCTTTGGGAGATTCGTTGATGGGTCGGTGCCGCCGGAGGCTCCAGTGGTACCGAACCTGAGAAGGTATAGGGATCCCTACAGAGAGAGAGAGAGAGAACAACTCCACCCGCCACACACCATGCGCCACATCCTGCCAACCTCCTCTCAAAAGACCTTGGCCGCCCCAGCTGCTGTCTCTCTCTCTCTCTCTCTCTCGCTTTCCTCGCGCGTCTCGTGCCTCGCCGCGTCGCCTCGTTGGGACCGAGACGCCGCAGACCGTCGCAGCCGTCGCCTCGAGGTCTCCGCAGTCGCGGCGCGTCGCTGTGTGCCCACGCGGCCAGGCTGCTGAAGGAGAAGCGGATGTTCGCTCACGGGTCGATGGCGCAGACCGAGCCCGGGAGACCCGGTCGTCGGTTCCGGCTAGAAGGCGAAAGTTTTTGTTTGTTGGAGCAGGAATGACTGGGGGGGGTTCAACCGGAAGAGAGGTGCGTTTGAGGGATGTCTATAGATGTTTTGAGGGAGGGATTTAGGGTGTTGGTTGGGAGAAAGGCGGAGAAGGTTTCAATCCCATCGGTTTGGCCTCGGTTTGGGAGGAATGCCCACTCTTCAGTACTGAAAAGCTAGGAAGCGAACACTTCCAAATAGGATCAAATAGGGACAGTTGCTCACAGGATTCAGTACATTTCAGTACGCAGATCGATATTATGTGTGTGACAGTGACAGTGTTAAAATAGGGAGACTTGCCAAAAAAAACATTGGGAAGAAGGAACATAGACTCTACCCAGCCAGGGTGTGAGGGCGTGCCCCATAAATGTTCCATAAAGACCCACCCATAATATATTTATTATAGATATTTGATGCATCCATACGTTCGGCCCTTGTGAATCCATTCAGACAACATCCAGACGCGAGGCCCCTCTTTTGGTGTTGACGTGCTGCCGTCCATGCCGGTGTTGACGGCCATGCCGGTTTTTCATCCTGGAAAAGTTGTAACGGACCAGATCATCTCTCCACACAACGAAAAGACAGGAAATAGGTTTTATACACAAAAATGTACATAAGTTATAACATCTTCAACAAAGAAGACGTCTAAAACAGTAAGTAGCACTTGCTGAATCTTGTCTGGACACGCCCCCCCCCAACCAAATCACCCGGAAAAAGCTTCGTGTTGTTTCACCATCCATGGTCGGTCAAGAGCACCAGCTCCCAGCACCACCCAGTTCGGGTGGTTTTGTTGACCCCCCTTGGCCTCTGGATCTGACCATCCAAGTAACCACCACCCACGCCACTTCTGCACTTGTGACGTCCTTCTCGGACCCGTTTCAACCCCACCGACACGCAACGCGACCGTCCCCCACGGTGCGGCCGCGGCTCCTCGGTCCGGGTGCTCCCGAGGCTGCGTCGCTGGATCAAGGCGAAGATCCAGGTCTCAGTGCTGGACGCCCAGGTTGGCCGCCGCGCGTGCTGCGCGGCGCTGGCGCGCGTGTTCCGCGCGTGTTCTGCGCCGTGCTGCTTGTGCCATAGCACATGGCATTGGGCGTCCGGAATGGGTGGTCGGTCATGAATTGGGTATATAGTATTGGTTGGGGTGCGATCGGAGTAAAGGCGACGGAAGAGGAATCTGGGGGTCTAGGATGTCTCAGAGTAGAGGGCATCAAAGGATTGACGTGTTTTTTTGTTTGTTTGGTTGTTTCGATTGTGGGCCACATACAGCTCCTTTGGGGGATTGTGTCATCTACTCTCCATCCACTTGTTTGCGTGGTCCCCGCATTGCGGCAACGAAAAGGCGGTACGGCCGCTGTATTGGTACGGCACCTCAATAGATTGCAAGGACTCCGTGGGTTGGACCCAAACACGACCGATGGGACTGCCATAGGACTGCCGCCCCATTGACCCCCCAAATACCACCCCAATTGATCGGCATATATGGTAGTCCCATGGAGTGTCTGGGTATTGTACCACCCCATTGACCCCTCTTCAACCACCCCAGCTGAGTTTGATACCAGTCCCACACTCGTGAGGTCGAGATGGGTGTGTGTCTCAGGGAGACAGATCCCGTGGAACAAAGAACGGCCCCCCAAAAAGCCAGCAATACACCGGGTTGGGTGAACTCAGTGACTCCCTATGAAAGATACACCAAATGCTTCGGTCGAACACCGGTATGACACCTGGCTTGACCGCCCGGTGAGAACCCACCGCACGAGAAGCCCGAAGCGGACCGCGCCTCCAGGCTGTCTTGGAAGAGAATGACTGGGCCTTAGGGCCTCGTGCGGCGTTGCTGGGCTATTGCTCGGCGGTCCATGCCCGGGCGCCTGGTCCATGGACCGGGCGGTGGGAGAGGCTTGGGGTGGTGTTTCAGAGGTGTGTGGCTTGGCTTGGGGTTGGGGGGGTCAGAGGCGCATGGCCTATCCTGCGCAGGTATAGTGGTCATGGCAAGTGACTCAAGAATCCAGATTTGGGATCTTCGAGTTTGTTGTTCTTGTTTTCTTCTGTAGTAGCGAAGCTGGTTGAGGTATCGTCGCAAGATTCTACCGAGCCTTTGGACTCTGCCCGATGGAGAAGAGCAATTAGGTGCCCCCGAAGGAGTGTGATCCAATCTCTCTAAGCATCGAATTTCGTGTGGTTGTTTTCAAGAAACTGGGTGAAACATCCGCAAGGAACCAGCACCAGCCCGATCTCTAAAATCAGGATCACCCCTATCCGGATGCGGCCGGGCTCGGGGCTCGGGGGGGGGGGGACCAAATGCTTAAAGCCCACGGGCGCCGTTCGCGTTCGCGACCGGCGCCGACGCCGGCTTCCCGGCTCGGCGGCGCCGCGTGGATCGGTAGGTGGCTGACCCGGACCATTCCAGCTGGGCAGTTCTCGAAGAGGACCGGAACCGGACCTCAGGGAGCGAGTGGGGAGCTCGAGCTCGAGAGCGCCAAGCTCGAGAGCTGAAGCCTCCGCGGTTCGTTCGGGTGGACGAGGGCAGTGGAAGGATCGATGATGATCGATGTTCCAAAGCTTAGGGCAGTGGAAGTTGAGAGTACTCTATAATGCTCTCAATATATAGTACTCCGGTTTCTCTTGCGGCGATGTGCAGGGTCTCCCCAAATGCGGAAACAATGATGATGGCAGGGTCATGGAGAGGCCAGAAGAATGAAGATCCTGAAGATCTACCATGATCTAGCCTGCGACGAACCCATCACATGGAAATGGTTATGGCCCCTGGGAAGAGCATTTTCCTCTACAAACAGGGATAACAGGGTGGTTTCCACTTCTATGTTAGTGAGTCGGAGTGTACTCCCCTTGCCTGCTTTGCGACTTCTTTGAGAAGTCCCAGCGTGGTGTCTTTTGTTGGGTGACTGTCACAAACGTCTCTCTCTCTCTCTCTCTCATGTCTGAGGGCGTTTGTCACGAGGTTTACTCTCAGATACTCGGGGTATGCAGGGAGATGCAGATGAAGGCCGATTGGAACTCAGTTCCGCACCCAGGACAGCTGTGCTGGACAAATGCTGGGGACAGCGCGGACGTGTCATGAATTTTTGCATTTTTCTACGGCCGAAGTAGGCTTTCAGCCGTGACTGATACCTCCCCCCGAAGCTCGCTGCTGCGGTCCTCGCGTCCAGTCTGCGTGGGCGCAGGGCGGCATCTCCCGCAGCTGCAGCGGTCGCTGGGATCCGCTGGCGCGTGATGCGCACCTGCAGATGGCCAAGGACGGCCGGCTGGACAGCGGTGGAGAGCTCGGTGGGATGGGCGGGATGGGTGGGTGGGTTGTGGCACTTTAGCTGGAAGAGGTGATGGGATGAGAGGGCCAACATAGCGAAAAAGGAGGTGATTTGCGGCTCCAAGAGTTGAAGAGGTGATAAGAGGTGTCGAAGGGACGGTCGAAGAGAGGAGTTTCGTGGCCCTTTTGAGACAGTGACATAGACCAACGACGACCAACGTGCTTGGCTTGTGGGTGCTGTTGGAGATGTTGAATAGACCATGGAAATCCATGGAGTATGTCTATGCCGTATAGAATTACCATCTTTTTCTCAACTGCCTGCCAGCGTTTTTTTTTTCTCTAAGCATTCTTGTTTGATTGACAATGGGAAGGGAAGGCGGGCTACATCCAAGATACGATGAACCCCTATTATGCTGTGCTCAAAAGTGCATGGCATGGATATATAATATACCGTTTCCTTTATAGTTTCGCAGAAGCACGGCACTGCCGTCTTTCAGCTTCTGGTGTTCCTCTTTTTCCTCAACCCTCACGTCGACTGATATCGTCGACTGCATCCTCAGAAGTCGCCATTCTGTACATGTTTCTGACACGATCTGTCTGGGACTGCCATAGGACTGCCGCCCCAGATCTCGACCCCTGAAATCAACCACCCCTGGCCTGATCAGCATATGGCAGTCCCAGGTCCGGGTCGTATCTGGGTGAGGTTGAAAGACCCTTATAGGCTGAACTAGGATCCTGGTCTGTGGTACATACCTGGATCTTCGAAACGGCACAAATAATTGCCTTTTCAGGAAAAAATGCCGTTACGGCGTCTTTTTCCAAAGACGGCGTTTTTTGTTGTGACGAGGCGCACGCCGGCAGAAAGCAAAAAGAAACGGCGTCTTTAAGCGTCCAAACGGCGTCTTTGGGCGTCCAAACGGCGTCTTTCCCCGTCCATGGATTTTGTACAACCCATAAAACGGCATTTTTTTTTGATTACGGCGTCTTTTCACTAAAAAATGCCTCCGGCAAAAATTTGTGCCGTTTGAAGATCCAGGTATGGGATGGGCGATGTATAGGGCTATTCAACCTCTCTTGGAATGTAAGACTTTCACTCGGCCGGGCGCTTCGTGAATCGTGAAGGTTGCCACTCTCGAGGGCCCGATGGGCTACCCTTGGAAGTGGGGCGGACTGTGGGGTCCCCAAAGTCTGCAGACGCTCTAGCCAGGCCATATATGAACTCTACGACCTGTATGTACCCTCCAACAGGGTCTTTTCAAGTTGAGGGTTGGGTTGGGGTTGTTGGGCCCCGAGTCAATTGGTCTTCCCTGTCCAACGAGTTGTTTTCTGAAAACCCCCCCCCCCCGCCGCCCTCAAGGCCCGCTCCAGCCTTCGCGGCGGAGCGCGACCGCGGCCGCGGCGGTTGAGGACGTCCAAATCTCTGGCATCCGGGCCTTCTTCCTCAGCGGGACGGAGGTGAAACGCCTCGAGGAGCGACGGCCTGGGCCGGAACTTCCGGCGCGGAACGGTGGTGGAAGGGAGCGACGGGCGGGCTCGGGCGGAAGGGTGGAAGGGCTGGAAGGAGCGCAGCGCGGAAGGAGAACTGTTGGATCACAGAATCCATCCAGAAGCACCTGGGTTCACACCAACCAGAATGAAACACGTATGGTCTGGTGGTGGTGGTTGGTTCAATATGGCAAGTGGGATCCTTTATACAATACAAAGTGGCTCTTTGAGGAAAGCATTGTTTGGTTTGAAAAGGCAGGCAAAGATGGTGTTCTTTCGCCACGCTGTGGGTGAATCCAACTTGAGCACCTCGCGCTCTGGGTGTTCGGTCGCGCGCCTTCGTCCTGCCACTGGACGGTTTCATCTTGGGGGTGCACGTCTTGGAAACAGCCAACAGAGGTTGAAGAAACCTATGGATCCTATTCCAGTTGAGTTCCCCGGGTATCCCCGGGTGACGGTTCCTTGACCTTAGGTCACTTAACCTGTACGTAGTGGAGGCCGGTGGGTCGCAGCAGGATTTGGCGATGTTTGGTCGTATGTGCTGTGGCATTTGACTGAAGCTAGCGCCGCAAAAGAAGGCTCTACTGCTTGGAGGCCAATCTGCCGGTGGGAAGTTCCAATCGATTGATTAACTCTGTTGTCAGAGTGAACTGGGTGGGGTGGGGTTGGCAGTTGGCTGGTTTGGATAGCAGATCAGCATTTCGGTCTTGAACTCATGTGATTTTGGAGCATGGGTGTTGATTTTGGGGACTCCCGTGTTGAACCACATTGAAAAAACATGAGGCAACAGTCAACATCTTCAGAAAACAACACAGACAACAACCATTGCTTTGCATGTTCTTCCATCCACTTGGCATGTTTATTTTTTTAAAAACAACTTATATATTTCCATGGCATCCTTGGCATCCACGTCCTCCCCCCAAACCCTCCCGTTGCTCCGGCGCAGGAGACCGAGGCGCTCCACCAGCTTCGAGAGGCGGGTCGGAGGCCGTAGCGACCCCGACACCTGTCCCCCTGGGGTCATCTCGGGTCTGGGATCAGACCCAGGCACTCAATCCTCCCAAAACACCAGGCAGACCACCGTTCCCAGTTTCAGACCCAGGTCTACCCACCCCTTCTTGAGCCACTGCGACCGCGCGTTTGGCGCGTTGGGCAGTGTGCCGCGTCGCCATCGAGTCCGCGGAGGCCCATTGGGAGTCCGCGGCCTTGGTGCCGGAGCTGCAGGTCACCGCCTGCTACCGCAACATGGACTACGGCGCTCTTCAGGCGGGAGGGGTGGGGCAGGGATGAGGGTGGATGCCGACGTGTTTTGTTGTTGTTTTGTTTGACACCCGGGGGGGTAGATGGGATGGGTGGAAGGCTTCACTATAGATAATAGAAGATAATCGAAAGGGAGAGAGATAGATGGAGATTGAGCAAGCAATATCAGAATTAGGCAGCAATATCAGATGATGGGAGATCTATCATTGATTTGATCATGGTAGATGAGTGACGCATCCCACAGATTGTGCACTTTGCATCCTGGAACTTCCCAGCCGATCCAGGCGCCGGAGCATGCGGCACGTGCGATGAAGGCTTCCAGGCGGCTGCTGAGCATCACTGCTCAGTGCGCCTTGGAGGATGTGTACTCTACAGTGGTTTCAGAGGTTCGATGGCGCAGACCCCATGAGGTCCTTTAGATGGGGAGTCTATAGAATATATAAACTTCACCACCGACATTTGGGTTTGTGCCATTGGTCCTCTCAATCCAGTTGAATTGGAAGACACCCTTTCTCGGCCCAATGGGTAGACTGGTCTATTTCCCTTCTTCCTTGAACTGGGAGGTCTCCCTGCTTAAATGCACACCCAAATCACAGGAGTGAAGGCTGGGCTGATGAGGATCAGAACTGTCCCGAAATGCATTCGCGGGACTTTGCCTATCATCAGGGAAGAGGTGGCTGATTTCAGGGGACAATCCTTTGTTTGTAAGGGAATTCGGTCTTTCAAGGGTTATTTTCCACATCCATGATTATTTCAGGATGTTTCAGGGAGGGTGTATAGTAATATGGTAATATATATATATAATATTTACTGTAATTTTTTCCATACATGGATGGTTTGGGAAGCATGATTGCAAACCACCAGCGCCGCATGGTTGGAAGGCACAGATGAGATCCAGGGGAGGTTTTTGACACTACCCGCCTGCGCCACAAAAAGGTGTGTTGATCAGTTCGGGGCAAGACCTTGCACCAGTACATAGAGGAAAACTTGCAAGGAACATGTCGTTGAACATCTTTGTGGTCAAATTCCTTTGTTGAAGAAGTTCAGAGAACCACCTACGGCCATAGCGATGATCTAGTTCTGTCTATGATCTACCGGGGTCTGGTTCGTATGCCCCGCAGGGTCTGGGTTCGTTCCCCGGACCCGCAGGGTCTTTCAACCCCCCAACGGGACTCCCAACGGGTCAGAAGCAAGGTCGGACCTGGTGATCCCACTTCCTCTCCGCAGATCGGTCAACCAGAGAAGCTGCCAGCGTCTTCAGTTCAAGAACACCCAAGAAAGCGTCTTCAGTTCGTGAGCCGTACGGCCCTTTTGGGTGACCTTTGAGAATTCCTGGGAGATCAAGTTCGGTCACTTTGAACCAGGAACTTCAGTGCTGGCCGTGTTCTGTCCGTCTTGCCACCCCCGAATGAACAGCGAACTTGTGCCTCTTCGTCCCGAATTCGCTTCGTGGTGACGGCTGAGCCCGATCCAGGTCAACAGGGGGGGACGGATCCGCTCACTTTGAAGCTCAACGTGCCTTTGTCCAACGGAGTTGGGGAGATAGGCCCTTAGGAACCCTCGACCCTCAGAATCCCTCAGAATCCGCTCTGCGCGACTCATGGGACTGCCATAGATATGCCGAGAAACGGCCAGGGGTGGTGCCGCGGGGTCAATGGATCGGCATATGTGGCAGTCCCATGGAGTGTATGGGAAGGGGTCGGACCCAAATCCTTTGGTTCTTTGGAGGAGTCTGGGGACGAATCCAATCGTTTTTGAGGGACCGGGACCTTGGGCTGTGAACGGAGCATCTGGGTGGATAAAATTGGAAGCTGAACGGGCACCCTGGAGGATGTTCCTGACGACGGCCACCATGTGACGAACAGTAAACAGCTGCAGAAACAAGCTAGTAAACAGCTGTTTCTTTTCATTTGATCCAACGACATGGAAAGAATCGGCCTATCACCGGGGGGGCTTTCCGCTTATCACCGTGCTCCGGTGGACGTTTGATGGTCGGCCGAGTCAGCAGTCCCTGGCTCGCCCATCAATTCACTTCCTAAATTCGGCCTGGCTCTCCAGGTGGGACCTGAGTTCCTCCTGGAGTGTGTCATCTCACCGGGCGCCTCCTGTGGAGTGAACATCTCTACTTACTCATCTGCCAAAGGATTCTCCAACAGCTTCACTGATTCAAACCGGTCAGACTAGAGGTCTCCAGCGTCAAGGCCGGCCGGGAACGCAGCGCTCGCTGACGAGAAAATGGCCTCGCCTTGGCCAGCCGTTAGTCGCGCAAGAAGAGGATGCCTGGAAACGACCGAAACTCACACTTCCTCCACAAAGACCTGGCGCGATCTGCCGATGACGACGAGTTTAAGCCGCTATGTAGAACGGCTAGATTTGCCCTGGAACGTCACGGGAGCCCATCGCCTCAACATCACTTGTTTTGCGAGCCGGTGGGTGATGTGTCGGGCATAAGAATGGGTCAAGCATGGGAGACACTCCCACCGCTGCCATCGTATGGATATTGCGTCATCGCGAAGACAGGGTGTTCTGAAATTCTGGTTCTGGCGCCCCAACAGCAGAACCACACAGAATATCCTCGACCGCACCTGATCGCTTTTTTGGGTAACAGACATGTGTAGGCAATCCACGTCTCGGTCTCGCCCAGAACCCGCCGTACGGAAGCGGAGACCAGGAGCAAAGTCATGGAGCGGCAAACAGAACACTTCCCAGAGACTCCATGTATGGAATAGTTACATACATCGGGGTCATACATGGGGTATGCAACTTTTCCATATAATACATGGAGTGTTTGGGGTTGACGGCTGAAGCAAATGATCCCACTGGAGATCCACGGGGCAAGAGGGTGAACAACGGATCGCTTCAGCCACCATGGCCCTCAAGGAGCTCTGGTCTCAAATACTGGAAATATCCTTCTCTTTGGGAGCTGGAGATGGCTGCTAGTTGCTGACTTCGGGATGGCGATTCGACGCGGCACAGTGGTGCTCAGGAAGTGAATTGCCGAAAAGGACTATGTCAAAAGCGAAGTCTTTTGCTGAAAGCCACAACGTCTGGAACCAGCAGCAAGAACCATTCCCCGCAAGCAATCCCATTGATATTGCAGATTGAGAGTCCTCGCTCATTGAAACACTCGGAGGATCTCGATACAAGGATCGGTGTGGAGTGCAACACGCAATTTCCAGCAGGCCCAGCTCAGAGTATTGGATTGAGAGGACGGAAAAAATGGAACTGTCGCTGTTTCTGCTGGGCACCCTGCAGCTTTGCGACGACCAAAAACCAGAAACAAAAGGACCTTATGGCTCTTCTCCAGATGGCATCTGGTGGCTCTTGGCCGGCCAAGAGCGCAGATGGGTGAAGAATGAAGGCCAGGACACTGACCAACCACGGACATCCTGCCACCAGGACCACGGGTGACGCCTTCCGCTCGGCACGACCGGATGCCATGAGGTCCACCGTGTTCCACTCGGGGTGAACTCGGCTCCCGGTGCCGGGGGCGCTCCACGTTCATGTTGACCCAGAGCCATATAGCACAGCCATATAGATGTTGTTCTTTTTGCATGTTTTTTGGGGTGTGCGTTTAGCGTGCGCGTGGACAACATGATGCGGCTTGTGCATGCTCACTTCACCACTGGTGTCTCTTTTTCTGGTCCGGGTCGGCCGGTGCTGGTCGTCCGACCCTGTCCGGCTCCTCAGGCGGAGAGCTACAGCTACCTCACGGGGCTTCTAGCCAACATGGTGGGAGAGCCCAGACCCGTCAGAAACCCGTCAATCCCCACGGGTGGTGTGTGACGAAAACCGCCAATCCGGGGCGCCTGTTCGTTTGGACACCGAAACCCGGGTTCACGGGGAACTGACCTTGGTCCGGTGGCGCCCCTCGCCTGGGAGGGGCTTTGGCCGGCACGGCATACGGCAGACGATGGGCACGGCATACGGGAACCCAATGGGTTTCCCACGCTGAAGACTATACCCATACACTCCATGGGACTGCCATAGATGGCTACATTGACCCCCCTGGCACCACCCCAACTGATCGGCATATATGGCAGTCCCATGGAGCATCTGGGATATATACACCTGGACCCTGGAAAACCACTTTAAAGGTTGGTTTTCATAGAGGAAAGCTGTGGGAGACTCAGGGTGCCATACTACCTCAGGGTCCATTTGAGTGAGTGAGAGGAGTACACCTGAAGAAAAAAACCTTCCGATCTTCGCTTTGCAGGTCCGGACTTCGCTCCACACGGGGGACTGCACAGTGTTTCACTCCACTCCGCATGGGACTGACATATAATGCTCCCATGGACCCTCTTATTCCGGAACCACCTCAATGTATGCAAACTGATATGCAACTATGCCGGTCACTATGGAGTGTTTGGGGAATTTATCTCGCGGTGTGCGCGTAGCACAATGCTTGCACGCGTTTCGGTCGAGGACTCCCTGTACTTCATGTGGTCGGCTTGCTTGGTCGAGACTTGCAAGCCAGCCGGGCGGAAGCCTAGTTGGCAGGAAGCAGAGCTGGGGGCACTCAGATCCCCAGCGATTTGGTGTAGAACGACCGTAGGGACCTTTAGGGAAACCTGGGAGTCAAAGACTATCAAAAGAATTGTCTTTAGGCGACCCGAAAAGGAATATGCTTTACTTCAGTGGGGCAAAATATAGTCTTTGGATGCCTTTGGACTTCTAGGGGTTTGGAACTCTAGATGCGATACTACGCCACGGAAAGGGTGTCCATTAATAGCCTCGAAAAAAGAGGTCAAGGGGTGTCCATGAACCACCCCTTGAGGGTCCTGGTTGAGGATGTTAATTGAATTTGTTTCATCATTTTTTGTGCCTACCCAGTGTGAATGAACCTCAGGAAAGCCTTGGAGACTGCTTGAGACACCGCCTGAGACACCCAGAAAACAAAAGGAGGTGGCACTGGTGCATGGTCCGCTTGGTGGTTGGTGCTTTTTTGCTTGGTGCGAGGAGCCAACAGCGTGGGTTTTACTGTACCCATAACCTGACCCGGTAGCAACGTGACCTGAGGTCCATGAGGCCACATGGCATGGCACTTCGGACAATACAGGGACAAGCATGATAAAGAGTAAGTCATAGTAAGTCTCAAGAACGGTTTCTATTCTCCGACCTTTGAAAAGGGGCCTTTTTGTCGCCCGCCTTCTTCCGTGGTTTCGCTGGTTTCGCTGGATCACTCAGATCGCTCAGGTCACGTTTCACCGCTGCATCTGGACCGCGCCCTGTCTCAGGTCTTACATCCGCCTTTGGAAGCAATATCTCTCGGGTCTCAGCCTCGTGGGGCGCCCCTTCGAGTTAGCCAGGCCGGGGTGGGCGAGGCCCTGAAGGTGAACACGTGCGTGATTGAAGCTCTGAGACAATAGTGAGACTTGATACACCCTAAAAAGATGAACACGGAACCTGAAAATGGACCTTTGGAAGATGATTTTCCAGTGGTTTTCAGGTTCCATGTGGGTCACTTCCGCATTTCTTCTACTTCACACGCACGTCCTCCCGGACCAGATGGTTTTGACGTACTTATAACTTTCCACCGATGCCCGGGGCGTCTCCTCGTGCGAACGGCACAGGTTGGAGGAGGAGCTTTTGTGGGGCTTCTGCCAGCGGTTGCGACGTTTGGCCGAGGAGGCGGGGCGGCTAGGCATGGCGAGAAGAGGGTTGGTGAGAAGCATCAGTGCGCACGACTGCTAGACTAGAGGGAATATGTAACATGTTCAAACTTGGATGAGTTTTGTTTTAGGTTTGTTTTTCTTGCCTGGTGTGGTGATTTGAACACACGTGAACAATTCAATGGTATATATATGGTACAGTACATATTGGTACCAATCAATCATCCCACACATACATTCACAATAACATGACATACTATATCACTAATATATTGCTCAACGACGTCAGTGACGGTGTTTATGAGCCACTACGGCTTCTGGTAGGGCAGGCAGCCTCCCTTGCTCAGATGGCTGCTCCTCAGCACGATTTACCAGCGAGAAGCTTTGACTATTCGCTTGGTCACGACGAACATGCTGTGGAGCACGAACTCGAGACTCTTGGCGTGCCACAGGGAGCTGACTACGAGGACTCCAGTTTTCACCGTGGCACCCAGGAGAGGCCTATGGAGGACTATGAGGCGTCCAGTTTCACAAACCCTCCAAGCGAAAGCCAACGAGGCTCTCGGGGGAAGCACATCGAAGTGATTTGGAATCCAAACATGATTGGAAGACCGTCGGAGATGAACATCAGCAGCTCCGCTTCGGCTCGATCCGCTTTGAACAGGAACTGTTGAGCAACAGAAACTCCAAAGCTTCCAAGGACGGCCAAAGGAAACCCTTGAGACAGCCCCTTCAGAAAACACTAAGTCGTTTGTCCGTGCAAATGCCAATCTGGATTTGCTGCCAGAAGAACTTGAGTTCGATAGATGGACAGTGGCGTGGTTGGTCTCGTCATGGCAGTTCAGATGGCTAGTCTTCTTCGTGATCTTCTTGAACATGGCCATCATCTCACTGTGGAAAGTATTTGGGACTACGAGGAGATTTCTCACGTGACATTGACAGTGGAGCGTGTGGCTTTGGTGTTCTACATCTTTGAGCTGTTTCTTCGACTTTATGCAGGCCAATGGCGCACTCGTTTCTGATGGATTTTCTTGGACTTAGTGCTGGTCATCGTCGGCATCTTGACCTTGTTGATACCCAATGCTTTGTGTTTCTCTTACATCTGCACGCACCTGCAGAGATACATGTTGACCGTGCGGTTGCTTCGCTTGCTGAAGCTTGTGCGGATTTCTAAAGATGAACGAAAGTTCCATCCCATGTGGATTCTCTTCGACGGGATTTGCCTTGCATTCCCTACCATTCTGGCGAGCGCGGTCTTCGTCACAATTGTCATGGCAATCTTCGCAGCTGTACTCATTTCGGTGCTTCACGAAGACAATGACCTTCTTGCAGACTCTGTTCCCTGGTCTCTCTTGGGGTGATGTTTATGTCCCACTATATATTCAATTATTTTCATGTATGAATAAGCCACCATCTGGGGAAATCTGGGGAGGATGTTTCTTTTTGCCCAGCACATCCAAGGAACTATATATCTGTGGTGGTACAGAAGAAGTTTTCCAGCTTTCCACAACACTGCTCTCGCTGGTGCAGTTTGTCTCAGGAGATGACCTTGCAGAGCTGTACTATCCACTGATGTTGGCGAGGCCAGAACTCTCATTGATTTTCATGCCCCTCCTGGTCATTGTCACCGTCGGGCTCATGAACTTGGTGCCCGCGATCCTGCTTGAGAACCAAGCAAGAGAAAAAGAGTTCAAACAAATTACAGGGCGGCAGAGGTTCCAGAAACTTGCAAAAGAACTTGAGAAGGTTTTTGCAGCGGATGGAGTCCGAGAAGTGAGCCACGGCTGGCTTTCAACCGCCGATTTCATAGACACTTTAGGTGCTTTCAAACTCGACGAACTGTTTGAAGTCTTGGTGAGAAAGCTGTGTCCAGGTGACCCTGATCCGGTGCTCCCTGTGGATGAATTCCTTGAGGCAGCGATGGAACTCTTAGTCTTGGAGGTTCCTTTGTCCACTAGGGAGACCTTAGCGATCTTGCGGCTGAGCTTCAAAGTCAGTTGGATGGAGCGGAGCATGCATGACGTGGAAGAGCACTTGGAGAGCTTCACAGAGAGGTCTCAAGAATCCATGGAGAAGTTGGAAGAATCGATCAATGACTTGCACCAGAAGGTTGATAAAATTATGTTTGCCTTTCAATTCCGCGATCTCCCTGCAATACATGTGCCCCTGAATCCAGGGGGACCATGGGCAGAACAGGGGCAGAACGTCAGCCGACGTCTCCGTCTCCGCCGTCGCGGGGCATCGGTCAGCCGACGAGTGACGGAGCGACGACGGAGTCGAAAGCTTCGGACGAAGCCCCCGAAGCCCACATGACACGATCACCAGCCCTTGGGCACCGATCCGGGGCAGTCCAAGTTGGAAGGCCTGGCATGGCCTCTTTGTAGATTTTGTAGCTGCCCTCAGGATCTGGCGGGCGAGTCCTCCACGAGCGCCTGGTGCAAGGGCTCAGGCGAGTCCGCCGAGCGCCCGGCGTTCTTCGCCAGCGCGTCCGGGGCTGCATGGCTGGGCGAGGGAGAGTGGGGCAGATTCCAAGTAGGTTTGGAAACGCAAGGTGAGGGGATCTTCATGGATCTCCGAACCTAGACAACGCAAGGGGGCAACCTCTTTTGAACTCCGACTTCAAATACCGAACATGACGAGAGGTCGTTCCCCGAACCAGTACGAATGATCAGCTACAGCCGCCTGAAAAGACCCAAGACCATCCGAGGCACGAAGTGGAAACGGGTATGAAGCGTATGAAGGGTGACCGGGGGAGTTTTCTCACCCCCCCGGACCGTGAGACGGACGGCTTGGAGACACCACCCCGGGCGGCGTGGTCCACGCGACGGGTGGACATGGACGAGGACTTGCGGGGAGAGACTGGGGCACAGCAGCTGTGTTGGAATCCCAAGACATCGGTGTGAACAGCTCTCCAGCATTGGTTGGAAACACCATTGGTCAAATCCACCTATAAGGACCATAGGTATCAATGGTTGACCTGGACATGTCCTGGCCAGGACACCTCCGCCACAAACATCCACGACATAAACTCCATTCGAAGCTGATGGTATGTCCCAGACTCTCCGTCGCACTGGCATATACCTGGATCCTCCAACAGGTCACCACCTGTAAATTCTCCAAAAGCCACCAGAGAAGACCTATATAGGTGCTGGTATATGCATCTCTGAACATCCGTATAGAGGATAAAGGACATACTGCTAGCATGGGGTTCACTCATTGCTTCCTAGGCCCCTTCAAAGAACGACGAAGTTCCGGAATTTGGCTCCAAGCCCATCGCATCCCCCCCCAAAACCATCACCTTTTGAGCGGTTTTGGGTCAGACCGGTTCGAAGACAGGAGGCACCCTCCCCTGGTGTGCAGGGCCAATCGAGTCGAGGCGGGATCGTGAGCTCTTCGATCGATCGGTAGAAGAGGACGAATCCAGGCCCCCAAGAGTGCAGGGAATGGTTCGATGGAACATGTCAATAAATATCCACTGACCACAGTATACCACATGTACTAATACCAGTAAAAAACATGTCAAAACAGATGAAAAGAACGACGAACCATGCTGGAAGTAAAAATGCCAAACATCCCCCTTTGAACCACCAGTCAAGCCTCTGAGCTGGAGGCTTGTTGACCGGGTCCGCATGCAGGTTGGGACCCTGAAACACCGACAGCACCTTGATTGAACGGGGGACGAAGCGCTTCGCAGCTAGGGAATCAGGAGCTCGCATCAGCACTCATCAAACTGCTCACCAGTAGCTGTTGGATCAGAAGTTTGAATCATCATTCCAGTGAATTTGCTTTCCGTCCCAAGATTTGTATATCTATGTCGTAGAAGATAGCATCGGGTACAACGATGTACAAACCCCCTCGGTGAAACTTGCGACAAAGATGCTGCTGGAGGTGTCCCATGACCTGTCACCACTCGGCAAACAATTATCGACATTGTTATCACTGTTATCACTATTTCTAGAGGAAGCCCTTGACTAACCATCATCATCATCCACGGTTGCAGGGAATGGGATCCGGGATTGATGTATACCAATTAACAGATGCTCAACAAAGATGACGAGCTGCTGGTCCGCTGGCGTCCTCGAAGCTTCGCGCATTCAGCACCGCGACGCTCCCTCTCATTGACTCATTGAGCCTAGAGACGACCCCACCAGTCTCTGCACTTCAGAGTAATGTTCCAGTCCCGTGTCAGTTCACTCCCATCCATTCAGCAAGGTGGTGAGATGGTAGAGGAGAGATGGTGGATAGCCAGGACCTCTTCAGGTCTTCGTGGCCGACCTCCATCGACCTCCATCGATCCCACCCACCACGCCACTGGGGAGGCGATTGGAGGCGGAGCCCGAGGTGCCCTCACAGAAGGAGCAGGGTTGGTGGACGCGGCCGTTTCCTCAGTGAGGAACTCGGTCAGACTTCGAAGACTGCGTCCGCCTTGGCATTTTTTATGTTTTTCTTCAGTATTTTGGGGCGACCGAGGCAGGGTGGTCCCCCGACATAAGGACACTTAGCTGTTGGTATACCTTGAGTCTCCAATGACCCTTTTAAATTTGCCTTTCCAAGAAAAAGAGGTTTTTGAAAGAAAGCACTCTTTTTTGCATATGTCACAAAATGTTCCTTTTTTGTTTGTGCCCTGTCAGATCCTCCTTAGACAGTGTCCTGAGACCTTTTTTCGGCGTCCAAAACGCGTCTTTTTGCGTCCAAAAGGCGTCTTTAAGCGTCCGTGCCGGACGCGTCCGGATGAAGATTCACTCTGCACCTTTTTTTGAGTCCTCATCTCTAAAAACGCGTTTTTCGAGCAAAAACGCAAAAATATTAGACCAAAAACAAAAACGCAGAGAAAAAAAAGGTCTTTGGAGACTCAAGGTATAGATATTTCTCGAGGCAACAAAAAACAAAACAAGTCGAAGTGCAGTTCGACGACGAAGACTTGGGGCGCTGAAGTAAAGGAAGCTCCTGGAGACTCGGGTGAGTCATGGTGACTTTTTTCCCAAGATCCTCTGGCGCCCGACGGCAGTTTAGACACCCGTCGATCTAAGAGGATACATGCCAAGCCGTGCATGGTGCTTCGAGTCGCTTCAAGAGGCCCAGACACGGACCCATGAGACTAGCGACACCAAAAACACCTAACTTCAACCACCCCTTTTTTTTGCTTGTATAACTGTTGCATACATGGAGCCGAAAGGAAGTCCAAAACTAGTCTAAAAATGGTCGAACTGGGTGAACCCGAGAGCAGGTTCCTTTACTTATATGCCAAGTATGATGGTCGAACTGGTTAGAGTGGGACATTGCGAAGTTGATCGACTGGTCGGGGTAGGGTATATATAGGTACGGATCCCGAACAAAGAACATCATGATGCATGCAGATATCATGAACCAGCGCTTGGGGCGGTTACTGGAACAATGAAGGTCGGGGGCCGGGGGGGTCTATATATATTTTTTGTTGAATAAACCACCCATTGGGAAATCCAGTCGGTTCTTTCATGCGTTCACTCCACTGGTGACAACTGGTGACCAACTCTCATGTACCGCGCGCAGGAGCCGCCTTACTTTGAGGAATGCCGCCGCGGCGCGACATGTGCAAGAGAATGTTTGAAGCTAGATATGAGCGAGCGGATCGTTTTGTGATGTGGTTGTGTAGGAAGTTTTCGTCAGGACCCTCCAAAAGCTTGCTTGTTAGAATACCGGTACTTGTGCTGGAATTGCTTGAGGTGGAGCATTCGGCCTCATAGTGTCCGAGTCCTGACTGAAGTTATATCGACGCCGTGCATTTGTTCGACTCCTTGCCAACACGTGCACATCCGCTCAGCGCCACACGCGAGCAGAATCGACTTCGGCACCACGTCACGTTCCAAAACGTCCATGGGATTGTACCTCCGCACGTGCGGAGCAAACGGACAACAAAGGGGTGTTAGAAACACCCAACCGTTGCATTGCCCGAACATTCACAACGCGACAGTTTTTCTTTTTTGACTGTGGCTTTGCGGTTGAATGAATTGCCGAGTTTTGTGACATGTCCGATCACATTGAGGTATGGAACATTTGGACAGAAGCCATGTTGATGGAACCGTCCAACCAGCGCATGAATTCAACGACACCCCCCTTCTTGGCACTTTTTGGGGCTCGCTTTGCCCCCCAAGAAGGAACCCAGATTGCCGCCCGAAAGCCTTGAGCCTTAGGCAATTGGAGCTCCATAGCACTGATATTGCTTATAGTACAATGACTCATAGACTCATAGAAATGAAGAGAAGGAGTCTTTCACAATTTCAAACCCCAAAATATCCAGTTCAGCTCCGTTTGGATGATTTTTTTGAGGGTTTTCCCAGTCTGAGAACTGCCCAAGCCGCATCGGCCCTCCAATGCTGTCCGACCCCAGGAGGCTCTCCGACTGAGCCCAGTGCCGGGGCTGTCGCCGCCGATCAGTGCCGCCGGGGGAGCTGAGACGTGGACGGGGAGATGTTGGCTTTGGCGAGTGGAGTCCTCAAGTGATTGAGGGGCGTCCTCGAGATCCATGGAGATCCACCAAGTAATAAGGTATCATGCAGAGGGTATTACTCTGATACCTTATTACTTAGTGGATCTCCAGGACACCCCTCAATCACTTGGGGACTCTATTCTATTCCGTTGGAGACAACGGAAGAAAAGAAGCTTTTTTAGAGATGAGATGGGTGATGATGGGTTTTTGGAGCTGTTTTTTCCATCCTCGTGTTTCAGGTTCTTAGGTACACATCATCAAACCTCATTCCCAGACACTCCATGGGACTGCCATATATATATATATATATGCCTACATTGACCCCCAAAACCACCCCAATGTAGGCATGTATGCTTTTGTGCGTGACAAACTTACCGTGGTGAAACTCGAGTTTTACGGGATCGAGTTGCGGTTTTGTGTTGCTTTGCCCTCTTGTGAGTCGACACACATCACCTGGTGGACCAAGATAGAACCCCCCAGGGGGCCACCAGCAGTCACCAGTAGCCTACTCCTGGAGCTGAACATGGTGGAAACCAGTTTGACCCCCAAAAAGCCAGCTTTCATGGCAAAGTTTTCCACTTACCAATAATACTTCCCTGCACTGAGGGTGCTTGTACCATGTCTTTGTTTGGGGTGGAAACGGAGGTGCCGTCCTTTTACGTGTGTATAGCGCTCATGATTAAATATACTGTATTATGATTATCGGAGTTTCGGGCTTTTCCCAACCAGGACCATCCTGTCTGGGTGTCCTGGCTTTACTACCCTACTATCCGGGATCTCCAGACAAGACACCCAGAGATGCGAAAAACAAACAGTGCTGACAACAGCCTTTATTCACCGAAAAGTATCAAAACCACCCAGACAGCATAAGCACGGCTCCTTCACTCCGTCGACCTCCTGCGTGCCGGCCGCGGTCTGCGTGCTGGGCACTTGGCACGAGGCCTGGGTCTCCGAATGTCTTCGCGGTCAGCGAGGCGAAGAAGGACCGGGCCGGCGGTCGCTTCCGGCGGAGGCGTTTGGAAGGACGAGTCCGCTGCGGGAGGTGTATTTGAACAACGAATGGTGGATGTGTGTTTTGGAAGCATCCCTGCCCAGTTTGGACGCATGTTGCCGTGGGAAAGTGTCACGCGCTGGACCTTCGACAGCTTCGGGTTTTCACCCCACAGGGTTTCGACTTGAAGGCAGTGCTGACCTCACTTTCAGAGATGTGTAGCGTCAGAGGCAATGCTGGCACTACCATAAGGATCCAACAACCGTTTCCAGGAGGGGATTTTCACCCAAAGCCTCCTGCTTGTGACTGTCTCCTCCGCCAGGGTTGCATGACAGGAGCTGCACCTCACAGTACAGATGGGACTCCTTTTGTTTGCTTTCCTCTTTGAGATCGGCGCTGGAGACTGGACACGTGGTCCAGTCTGTTGACCGACTACCAAGGGCCTTCCCAGTGATCTTACTTCAGATCCCAGTGGTTGACGGTCACGAAAACGCTTCGGTCTCCTTTTCAAGGTCACGTATACGAAGTCACTGGGAAGGTCACTGGGAAGGTGGTAGATGTGTGATGATTGAGACTGCAAGTGTACAGCGGGGGGGTTCTGGTCATGTGCCGACGGGACGCTGTGTGTGTCCGGCATCGCATCGACGCAGACCGTGCGATGCGAGTGATCGAATCCACGAATCCAACCCAACGCTATCCAAAGCTTCACCATGTGAAGAAACTTTCGGATGCCTTCTATTAGGGACAATAATAAAAACACAAACATTAACAACAAAAACATACAAAAACATACAAAAGACCTATACCTGGGGATGACACCAATATCAGGATGCTAATAGGTCAGGATGACATGACCTCTTTTCGTGTCCTGGACGGCCTCTCCTGCAAACCCGGACGGACCCGGACCCCGTGGAAGAGGTGGTCCTCCACCAGCCTGGCCGTGGTTCGACTGGGTCCGGGATTTTCGCCATAGACACCAGGGTAGTAGAGGGAAAGCTGATGAGAAATCCTCAGTGAAATCCTCCATGGACTATACGTCATCAGGTGTACTGCTTCGAGGCCTCGAGAAACCAGCATCCTCACCGCCGTTCCGGGAAGCCAGGTCCCTCACAGGTGTCAATTGGTGAACTTGTTGGAGGATGTTAGTCGGACTCCAGTGAGTTATGGCCTTCAGGACAGGGCCACTCTGATGAATTAGGTAATTAGGTGCAGATTTCGTCTAGCAAGTACTGTACTTGGCTGGCCTCCACCTGATGAAAACTCTCTTGGGGTTGCTCTTTTGCGGCACCTAAGAGGCTCTTCCCTTTGATGGTCCCTCCCTGCCTCCGGTGCCTTCAGTCGACACCCTCCACTCATGCGACACCCTCCCTCCGGTGACTGTTCTGTACCTCCAGGCACCTCCTGGGAAGCTGAACCGGAGGCTGAAGAGGGCGAAGCTGAGGATTCTCCACAGGCCATCTCCGGGAATCTGAGGGGCACCTCTTGGGCACCTCGAACTCTGGCTGTGATCCGAAAGGGGTGAGCTCGGGCCATCTGAGGTTTCTTGCTGGATGCTTCCACGATGTTCCAGGTAAACAACTGGAGCATTGATGGATGCTAGGTAACATCCAGAGTCATGTTTGCATGTCTTGCTTGTTTGCCTCTTGGAGATCTATATACCGATGGACGGAAAGATAGAATGCCGGGTCGTGATTTGGTGATGGACAATGATAGAATGCCTGCGCTCAACTGGATATTTGGTGAGAGAATGACATTCAGCCCTTGGCCCAGAAAATGCTGTAGCGGCTTGGAATGGGGTCTCGGTCATCATAGAGGTGCCAGGTGTTGTAGAAAACATCAGCAGCACATACTTCAGCAACCCGCTTCACCATCGAACACGACGGTCATTGACATGTTTGTTTCACCTTCAAACTGTGCTTTTTGAGTGGAAGAACAAAAACCCTTCGAGAACGCCCCACATGGATCCATATGGGGTGCTTTCGCCGTGGGCCACGCCGTGGGCCACGCCGTGCCTGGCCACGCCGTGCCTGGCCACGCCGTGCGCCTCCGTGCGCCATCGGCTCCGGTTCGGCGCGGGTCTGAAGGCTCAGGGCTCCGCACGGGAGTTCTTGCTGGATTCCGTGTATGACATCGTCGCTCGGTTGCAGCGCCCCGTGCGGACACCGCGTCCGCCCCAATGCCCCGAGCGCAGCGTCCGCGTCCGATCTGGCCACGTCTGCCACTCCTGGAGGAAGCGACGGTGGGGATGTGGGCGTGTTGGGAGTGTGGGCGTAGGATGGCGTAGGTTTTGATGAGCTTTGTTGGTGGGAGTGCAACAGGGAGGGGCTGATTCTTGATATTCTTGGAGGATTTGGAGGCCCAAGTAGGGCTGAGCTTGTCCCATAACCGTTCGCCGTTAGCCGTGGAGCATGTTCTGGACTATGTTGGGGCCATTCAGCGAGCATGTGTTCATTTATTCCTCACCCAGACACGACTAATGACTAATGGGACTGCCATATATGCCGATCAATTCGGGTGGTTTTGGGGGGTCTGTCTGGGGCGGCGGTCCTATGGCAGTCCCGGACAGGTCGTGTCTGGGAAGGAGTTCTTCAACTTCTCTTTCGACACCATGTCCTGGGACTGACCGAACCCGAAACCCGTCGGAGTCCGAGTACCGAGGCACTGCCGACCTTCCGCGTGGTCCTCGACTTGAGCCACCTACCAGGCGCGCTGTTGAGACAGGGGCGAACGCAGGGACCCCCAAACCCGGAGCCCACCATGGCTTGTCATCCCTCATGGCTTGACCATCGGTAGTAGGTATAGGTCAAAACAAGGTAGCCTGGTGCCATGACCCACAGCCATAATATCAATTGAACAAGGACCGGTTCAATATGCTTCGATGTTGTATAAAGTGGCTAACTTTGTGCCCAGGGGCCCTGATGTTTGAACATGTTTGAACCATATTAATCTACGTCATACCGAAGATTCTTTCAGCCAGAAAACCATGGCCATTCTTCTGGAAGAGCGGCTTTTCCCGTCCTGAGGTTCGTTGCAGTGAATGTGTCCTTTCTAAGACAAAAGACTGTTGTCTCAAAAGGGGCTTTGTTCTGTTGCTGTTTGCCTTAAGCCTTTCAGCCCTTTGGAATCTCAAGGAACTTGGTGTCACAAACACATCTATGTCAGCACCAGAATCAACACGACCGATTCGGGCGAAGCAGCTCGCCGTTCGTTTCGCGTCGTTGTCGGCCGCTTCTTCGTTGCGTGAAGACCGGTTTGTCGCCCAGCAGCTGTTTTCCGGGCTTATTGGAGAAGCATCATGGGGTGCCGTGAAGAACATCCGCTCACTTGGGGGGACGAAGGGCTGACCAGGGCCCTGAAGAGGGAGGTTCTTGGTGGTGGTGTGCTCGGCTCGGCCGTGTTTGTCCCGCCGAAGAGAAGCGAGAAGAAGCGTCTCCGTCACCAGTTCGACGGTCACCTCTCCGTCGAAGAATCCCAGGGGAGGATGTGGCCACCTTGGAAGCAGACCTTCCACAGTTGGAGGTCGTGTATGCCAGCAATTTAGATTGCAGGCGTGTGGGCGGCGTCTCTTTACCCTCGCGGTGGGACCTCGCAAGTCAGGTGGTGTGAGCACCGGCATGTCATTTCGCGCCTGGTCGCGGTTTCGTGGTGGAAGTGATTTGATGTGATTTGGAGCATTTGAAGCGAAGTGAGGCGATTGGTGATGAATGGCAATGTGAGCCGCTTAAATCCTCACATGAGCCATGGTGTTTGTGGACGCCAGGTGCTTGATCGACGAGATTTTCGGGAGCACAAGTCTTCTCCTTTGGAAGGTCCATGTGTGTCCCCTTGGTACATATCCGATCGATGATTTCACCTACTCCTCCCAGAGACCTTCCAGGAGCTGGTTTGATGGTCACAAGATCGGCCCCAAACCACCTGTGATGTGAGCCGAACGCCACCTCCTGGCCCCCAGAAAAAGATCACCGGGCGGGTTTGTCACTTCCAGAGAAGGGTTGTCTTGGGAGCCTTGCAGGACATCTGAGCAACGGATGGTTCTGGACCCTTACCCAGACACTCCATGGGATTGCCAGATATGCCGCCCCATTGACCCCCCTGGCTATATATGGCAGTCCCATGGATCGTGGATATATTACCTGGACCCGCCCGACTGGTTCGTAGCGAAAATGGGACATGACCCCATCAAAGCAGGTACCATACTATACTTATTTTAATGTTAGTAGTAACTATATTTGAGGTATTTTGAGGTACTGTACATGATAGGATACTTCTATTGAAGGTACCCATCAACCCCCGAGGCGGTCCTGAGAGTCCGGCACCGGTCCTCTTCTTCGCCTTTCGCGGTCCCCCGGTCACCCGCGCCGAAGCGGGGAGGTTCTTGACGGTGAGCAGCAGCTGTGCGGTGTTCCAAGAGTCGCACTTCGGCAGCCAAAGCCATAGCGAAGCCTTCCGAGGAGCCGCCGAAGCCGCAGAAGCCGCGGGTCTCTGGGGGAGGGGTTCCCGGAGCGGGAGAGACGGACAGACAGACCGTTTGGGAACAGGATGGGGATCTGGCTGGAGGAGATGGAGTTGACGACAGCTAGTTGGCTTACTTTCATGAAGAGTGGCGCTGAAGACCAGAAAGCCAAGGGGATGAACGATCACACAATATCACACATCTTGTGATCAGGATTGTTCAGCACACATGGATACCAACGGCGAACATGGCATACGAAGCGTCAAAAACTTGTGGTTATACACAGAGATAGATGGACCCAATGCTTTAAAGTTATTTTTTTTTTTTAAACGTGCGTTGTTGCAAGAGCCTTTTTTTGCGGAAAAACTTTTTTTTTTTGAAATCCACTTCCTCTTGATTGACCCATGATTGGGTTGTTCACAGTAGGCCAGGTTCCATGCCTCTTCCACGGCCAAACACAGGCGTTCTACGCCAAAAAATGTCCCTTCTACGGTTTGTCTACAGTACGGCTTGTTTACGGGTCTTGAGCTGGGCCGGAGGCAAGGAATAGCAGGCAAGAAAATAGTCCTTGTTTTGCAATGAACATGCTTTCCGGGAAGGCTATTTAATTGATAGTCGATGAAGCCTAGGGTGGATGGACATCCATCAAATGAACGATCAAGTATTGTAATCGGGTATTCTCTTTGACTAAGTTGAACGCCTCTAAAAGCCCCAAATTCCTCATCTACCCAGCACTATAGTCACTTCCCAGCAACTTCCTCAAGCGTTGAAACCCTCAAATCATCTCTCCAACATCCCCTATGTCAACATGCAATCTTCCAACCATGCCGTCTCTTCCCATCCCTTTCGCGCCTTTGCAGCTGCGGGTTCCCCGCCTCGCGGTTCCCCGCCTCGCGGCGTCCCAGGAGCTGCCGCCGTGCACTGGGAGCAGATGCACATCGAGTCGACCAATTTCGGAGACATGAAACGACAGGCCGACGACCCGCGACGACCGCGACCCGCGACCCGCGGTGCGGCGGTGCGTGGTCGACCCGGTGAGTGCTTGGAGGGGGAGGTCACGACCTGATGGACACAGGTATAAAGGTACAGGTACATGGCAGAAAGCAGGTACCCCTGGCACATGATGGAGGAATATGGAGGGTCTCTCTTTAGACTCCAAGGGAATCTTCCAGGAGCTTCCCAAACTTCCCAGTGGCCTGGATTAGCAAGTAACATGGCACTTGGACCTATAAAGGTGACCTCATTCGATTTCCAAAGGTCACTGGGAAGTCCTGCACGACGGGCCAACCGTTGCCCGGCTCGCCAGTCCGTGTGGCACCTGACCACTGGAACCTGTGTTTGACGCACCCCGAAAAGGAGAGCATCAGACGCCACACAGACCATACCGGCCCTCAACTCTTCCCTAAGGATCCAGTTGTACCCTCTGAGATTAAGGTGTTTGGGGTGGGTGCCAGGAGGGTCCAGTCGTACCTTTCGAGGAGGCACGACTGGATCCTATAAGGGCTTTGCGAATCATCGTGTTTTCCCAGACGTCCATGGCCAATGGCGCAGTCCTTGACCTCCGTAAGGACTGAGTCGTGTGAACTTGTATGACCAACATTGACCAACTTCAATCGGAATCAATCTGAATCTGGCAGATCAACTGCTGCCGTTTGTTACTCGTACAGTTCAGGCTTTGTGGGAAGACGCATGTCGCCAGGCTACGAGGTTGAGTGGAAAACCACAGGTCACCAGGATGATCACGTGTGAGAAAACTGATCTCCACTCCGGTCCACAACCCGTTCTCTGGACCCATTTCGGATGAACACCCACCTGTTTGGTCTTTGGTCCTGGGTCCGACATCGGCCGGTCATCTCCACCGGAGGGCTCCACGCCCGCGCCCGTCAGTGCCGTGGTTTAGCTCGGAAAACGAGGATATCACTGGAGAGGTCCAATGACGTACCTGCCGTGATTACCACTTACTTCCTCCTGGGCCCCTTTGTTACAGAACAAATCGCTGGCCATTGCATCAGCTTTGAGCTCTGCAGACACGCACTTGTATGCACTTGTCGCTTTCTTTTGGACACTTGTGGCTTTCTTTTGGACTCGCGACGATGGAGATGGAGGCCTTGGAGGTTTCAAAGACGATGTTTAGACCACCTTACTTACACCTGTCCTGGTTCCTTAGGCTTTCACTTAGGCTGGCGTGTGGCAAGCCGCAGGTCGTGTCCGTACGCAATGTCTTGAGTGTGTGTGTGTGTATGGGAGAGCCCCTCTGTAACATGGAGGAGCTCCATGGTGATTACTGGCTTGGCGTCTGCCATGGGGGGTACCGGGTGCCTTGGACTTGACGGGAAGCACTCGCTCGTCATGACGCCCCCCCGAGAAAAAAAAAAACATGACCCTCCTTTAAATACCACAATGAAATCAGTTATATGTATAGTTATGTCAATATTATTTCAATTGTTACTTGCAACTTGCAATTAAATATATGGACAAATTACACGGGACAAAAAGTACTTGCAGGACTTCCCCATGGGAGTTCCCATGGTTCGAAAAGGTGGGAGTTGGGTGTTCCATCCACCCAAACCAGAACCCTTGGTTTTGGAAGAGATGCCAAGCCCAACACGCACAGAGTGTTGGTTCTTGTGCCAGGTGCGGATCACCAGCAAGCCCAAACTAAGTATCGATTTGCGACGCTTGTGGCCCTACGCCAGGCGAGATTCGTGGCCTGACGGGGTTTCGGGCCAGCATGATCCAGGGGACCTTGACCTCACAAAGGGGTTGTGTTGGTTTGGAACGAGGTAGACGTCCACCACGTTTGGGTCGAGTTGTTTTGTTCTGTTTTGACTTTGTGCCATGAGAAGAAGCGGTCACTTAATTAAGCGAGGTCTTTCTCCCATGCGGGGCTAGCAGCCAAACATTCAACAGATGGGCTTACAGGTTGGAACCCAAGCAGTTTCTGACACGTGGCCTCCTGCCACCCAAGTGAAGTTGACACGTGGAACGCCACCCAGACATGGAGTAATTAGATTGATGAAGCCGACAAACATGCGCCCACAAGTGCCTTTGGAGCTTTGGTCTATTAATCACAAATCAAGCAGGAACCACATGTCGGGGTAGTGTTTAGTCTCAAAAGTGAGTGAACGAGGGGCACCTCCGGACCCCCTATCCTCCGAGTTCGGCACCCTAACTCCATGTGACGCCTAAGGACTAGGGATCCGAAACGCGCGCTTTGGCGCGAAACGCGACGTTGGGAGGACGAGGGGATGAGCTGTTCTTGGGGGGTCAGTTGTTTCCCTCCCCTCAAAAAAAAACCAAAAAAACCATCCCCTGATGTGTTTGGGTCAGTCGAGGGTGACCAAGCCCGAGAGCTGCCCGCTTGGCCCTGGCGGTCCCAGAAGCGTCAATGGGAGGCCCCTGGTCTTCCCGCTTGGCCCTGGAGGTGAAAGATTGGTGTTTCGAAGGTGGGAATGATGGGAGGCCCTCCACTCCGCTGACATCGATGACCCTGGGACTGTGACATGTGACATCGCCACTCGACAGACACACCCCGGACCGCTCAAAGCACCCCTGATCAGGAGTGATACAAGTAGTTGCCAGTCCCAGACAGGTCGCACTGGAGAGGGTACAGAAGACTCACTCATGGAATTGGAGTCCGTGCTTGCTCGAGGAGAATGGTCTTCTGATTGTATTTGGGCCTCAAGTTTTACACAGAAGGGGTATACTCGTAGCATCTCAATGCATGTCTATCTTGCTGAAAAAATAGAAACATCCTCCATCCAACCTTAGCAGCCTTAGAAGCCCACACACATGCTTGCCCACGTTTAAGCGCCTTTTGCAGGCACTTCCCAGGCTTGCGGCCCTGTGATCCTTATGTGGAAGCCATCCATAGATGGTTCCCAGGGCACCTTGGACTCAGCGTATTCGTACCGTTTTTGTTGCGGGACGTGAGGGTCGTTGTGGCTTCAGCTCCGCTAGAGCGGCCAGGGATGTGCCAGGGATGTGCAGAACTGGTGAAAGTTCCAGGCTCCGGGCTGGACAGTTTCTTCTGGAAACTGGTGTTTAAGACAAAACAAAAGTTGGAATGATTCTGCGACCTAGGCTGATGCATTTGCCAAGAGATCGGAGGTTCAATATATTTCAATATGATTTGAATTTGGCTTGAATTTGATCTTCGCTCGTGGCCGTGAGTATAGCTCCACTCCGAAAGTTGCAAGGTTTCATGAGGTTTAATACTCACTCTCTGATGGCATTTTTCTGATAGCGTTCCGGGGAATGCCACTTGTTTGTGAAGTTCTTTAATAAATACTTCCCATATATAATTTGCCCACCGGTTTTTTAGAATCACCACTTCACCCGGGGCGTGGCCTCTCCAGCCCTGAGATAGTCCCAGGGTGAGTGACCATGTTTCTTTCGGACCGGACCTAGACACGCATGGGACTGCCGCCCCAGACAGACCCCCTTTTTTCAACCACCCCAATCCCGGAGTGTTTGGGAACGGCAGCAGTTGGAGCCGGACTCAGACTCAGGAACCCCAGACACGACCCATGGAACTGGCAATAGATGCCTACGTTGACCCCTTTTCAACCACCCCTGGTCTGATCGGTACATATGACAATCCCATCGAGCGCTTGGGAATGATTGGGAGTCCCAGGCCAGTGCCAGAGGACCTCGTGGAGGCGTTAGCCGTGGTCTCCGCCAGTAGGCGCGAGAGAGACAGACTTGCAGAGGAAGAGCTGGCAGAACATAGCAGAACAATAGCATCATGCAAAAGACACCGGTCATTGAGGGTGGTCGATAGGTGGTTCCAGATGGTGGAGGTCTTGTTTCATCATGAGTTCTGCTGGCAGAGGACGCCTTGTTCTTCGCCACGAGCAGCAAATCTGAGGATCAACGGCAAGTTATGTTTGATTTCGCGTCGAATTTCAGACACTTTGCTACATTTCCCCTGTGACATGACAGGTTTGGCCGGGGATTCCAGCGACAAGACACACAAATGGCAGATCTTCCAAATTGGTCATTGAGAACCCCTCTCATCACTTCGTATCACTTCCTTGGTTTGGAGTCCTCATTGGCCCGAGCCCGATACGTGCCGGGTTTAGGGGGTCACGGGACTCGTGGTAGGCGTGGTAGGCGGCGGCGATGGGACGTGAACCCCCCCCACAACCCCAGAGATAGCGGGGCTATCCGCACTGAGCTGGTTGAATCCCCAGCCCGGGCACGTGGATGGCACTGGTGCGTTCGATGGCGCTGGCACGTCTGACGATGTCTTATAGACAATGAACTGGGGGTCCTTCGAAACCACCGAACTGGGGGTAACTTGTGTTTTCTTTGCCTTTGAAACCACTGTAAAGCGTGTAAAGCACATTGTCCAGCTTCTTCAAAGTGACCTAACTTGAGACTCCCCTCCCCCAATCCCCCATATAGCCCTCAGTGACCGAACCTGTGATCTCAACGGATGAAAACAGGGTCACTTGGAAGAACCGGGTTGTACCAGGTTAATGGACACCCCGAATCACATCTAAGGGGCTATCAATAGAAGCCCCAAACAGGGTGTCCTGGTATATAACTATATAGGTTCATCACATGTTCCATGTCCAATTTGCTTGTTTCATTCTCTTCGTTTCGCATTGAAGGACTGGCGGGACCTAGTTTCGCATCGCATCTGTCTGTGGAATCCACCTGAGGTGGCCATTTTCCGTCCAAGGCATGGGTGGGTTGATCATGCTGTATGCCAACAGAGGTTGAAGGGGACCCTATAGATTATCCCTACCCCAGGTGACGGGTCCTTGGTCAGGTCACAAAAGTACTCTCGCTTCAGTGCGAGTTCTGCGGTCCCCGCGCTGTGCCACAGGCAGACCACCTGGGTCCTGGAGCTGCCACTGCTTCGTGTGCCGCTGGGCCGGGGGGCTCGGAGGGCTCGGGGATGGGCTTTGACTCGGGCGCCAAACGCCACTCGCCAGGCCACTCGCCCCATGGCGGTCGGGAGAAGGCTCCAGATGTGGACTCATCTTCGACACTGAACGGAGGATCCTGAAGGACGAAGACTGAAGGACGAAGACAGTGAACGTCAGCTCCGTCAGCTCCGGACGGTGGACTCGATCCTGAAGGATCGTAAACAGGAAGATCTTCCAGGGCTGAGGCACTTGTTTCTAATAGTAGTAACAGGTGCCACGCTAGTAGTAACAAGTGCTAGTAGTAACAAAGAAGCTATTAGAATTAAATTGTTCTGATTTCACGTATAGAACCTGAGAACCGGAGAACGGTGCCCACCCAACTCATGGGTTGTCCATTGTGGGTATAGATGGGTATAGTATCACGTAATATATGCAATATTGTCCGACACTCTATGTGCTGAAAGGCTTGAGTGATTCTGAGTGCCCAAAGCTTGGACGATTACAGTCACTTGCTATGAGAGCCACATGCTTGCTAACTTCCTAGAGCCTTTTTGTGGGCTCTAGTTTGGACCACCAACCACGCAGTTTTCATGGTCCAACTTCCTATTCAACACAGAGGTCGTGTTTTGGGCTCGGCCACTTACAGTACCCAAAGTGGCTGTGCCTCTTCCTCCTCACATTAGGGGAACCTGCAACCACCATTTTGTCATGGTTTTGGCAGGTAGTTTCAGCCTGTTTTTTGAATTAAGTTTCCTGGATCGATAACTCTGTGTACAACACCAAAGTCATCCCCATGGTTCTTTGTTGAACAACTGTTTGACCATCCCTCAGACTGCATCACCGTGCGGACAGATCTGAACTTCGGTGAACGAGATCCACTTCGTCTCATCCTGTATCTATACGTCAATCCAAGCCAAGTCTGTTTTAAGGAGGTTTCTCCAACCAGCTCTCCAACCTGCACTGTTTGGTTCGAACGGAGGACGCAAAGGAGCAGAACAAATAGCCGGAGCACAGCCCAGCCGTTTCGGAGAACAGCATGTCGTTCCACCAATGAGGACGTTCGATCGACTCCCTGAGCAAGTCCGATCGACTCCGGAGCTTAACAGCATTCCTGGTATAGGTACACTTTTATAGTGCTTTGAAGATTCTGTCAACCTCAAAGCATGTTTTTGTACCTTGTTTTTGCGAAAAACAGTTACAGTTGATTACAACCCAACACCATGATCCCCAGTGGCTTGAACCAGTAGGCAAAGGCCTAGCCAACTGTCAACCAGACATGTAGTCTAATTTGACGTTTTGCCCGAACTTTGCGGTTGTTTGCCGTTTGGGCTCCATCAGCTGAGCTTGCTCATGGAAGCGACACGAACCTGTAACAAGTGTCGCAGCGGAGCAAGGCAGCAAGGCGATTCTTGGTGCCTCGCGTGCGCTGCACTCGAATCCATCTCTGCCGACCTTCGGCGGGGGTGGTCGAGTGCGGCGCTGCGAGTGATAGCCGAGGATTCGTGCGTCGCGGCCGCTCGGGCCGTGAGGGCCCTCCGCTTCGCTGGCAACCGGCAGGGCGGGGAGGAGCCGCCGCCGGGGCGCCGTGCGGACGCGCCGGAGGGTGAGTGGTCCGTCGAGGAGGTGGAGGAGGAAGAAGAGGCCCGGCCGAGCAGAAGGGGCACTAGCCAAGGGGCGACTGCAAAGTCGAAGGGAAAGAGGCAGCTTTCCCCTCCAGCTGCCATCAGGCCCCGACCAAAGACTCCACCGCGACCACCTCCTGGACATCGAGAACGACATCGCGAAGAGAGGCCAGCAGAGCGAGGATCTGAGGAGCCTCAACAGGAGAAACGAAAGAAGCATCGAGGTGGCACGAAACATCAACAACACACCCGACGACAAGACGACGGGCAAACCCGTGTCACTCATCGGCCGCTTGGACGTGAGCACTACGAGAGGCAGGGCTTGCCTCGTGGTGTGGAAGAGCGTTGAAGCCAGACCCCATTGGGGGTCGACCCCGGGGCAGAGCAACAATGGCCCCGAAACGTGGCAGAATGACAGAACCTGTGAGGTACAATCTTCGAGAAGACCCCAATTCGTGCAATGCAGAGGACTTCAACGAAGGCGACATCATCGAAGTCCTGGATCTAGCTGGAGTGGAAGGTCTCGCAACTACTCGAGGAGTGTTTTGGGTCGAGGCCGTCGAGCTGAGGGATGGCTCTGGCATCGTGCTCAAGGTGGCTTGTTTAGGAGGCGACGACCAGGCGAGTTCCGCGTTGTTGGCCACGGTGTTCAACAGGAAGAAGGCCAGGCTTCATCTTTCCCCGAAGGACCTGCAGGTTGCGAGACAGGAGGATTAGGAGTTGGAGGCCACTGCAGTCAGTTCCACAAGTACGCTCTGACGGACTATCCCCTGAAGGCCGTCGACCCAGGCATCGCTCGTGCATTACGTCGCCGACGTCGAGATTTCGATCGCAAGAAAGGGAAAGGCAGAAGAGAAGGATCGTCCAGCAGGGAGCCTTCACCCACGGAGGTCAGAGGAGAGGAGAAGCGTCCGGGAGCTTTGAGGAAGCCTGGACAAAAGAGGTTGAGGCCAGAGGAACACGAAGAGGAGGAGCCAATCGAAGGGATCTGGTCAGGGGGGCCGGATCCCGTGAGAGAAGAGGTGCACTCGAAGGCTGGAGACGAAGGTCGACAGAGGTTGGAGGAGCATGGAGACGATCAAGGAAAGCCCGGTTCCCGACCCGCTCTGAGAGCAGCTCTCGGGAAGCTCAAAGCGAGACTGGGGCGTGCCCCAGTAGAGCGGGACCCAGATGGAGCTGGAGATGGTGGAGGTCCCTTCGACGCCTTTCGACTACCGCCGGACGCATCGAGGAAGAAGGAGAAGAAGAAGGAGGCCCTGGAGGAGCATCGCGAGAAGAGGAAGGCTTTAGAGGCAGGAGAGGATATAAAAGGCACTACTTCGAGGCCTTCGAGGAAGGAGACCGACGAGAAGAAGGTCAAGCCCCCCGATGGAGTGTTGGCCGAATTAGTGCACAAAGCCTCAAAGCCGCCCACGAAGAAGCGAGCGGGCACGAAGAAGAGCAAGTCAAAGATGACGGCTATGGCATTGATGAAGACTCTAGCCAAGGGCCTTGGTCTGAAGAAGTTCAAGGGCTTGGAGGAGAAGAAGAGGAAGAAGGAGGCCAAGAGGAAATCAGATCCGGAAGATCCGGAGGATTCGGACGACAGCCAGAAGAGCGAGAACTCCGAGACAGAGAGCTCGGGGAGTGGCTCAGGACATACCTCCGGGGAGGAAAGAGAGAGGAGCGAGATGGAGAAGGCTACTCCACCTCTAGAGAGGATGAGCCAGAAGCGAACAGGGTCCGTCCTGAAGCTCTTCGTTCAGCACATGAGGGAATCGTTGCAGAACCTGGACGAGGGAGAAGGACAGGAGACGGCGACGGTGACTGGAGGGGTGTCAGCCATCAAATACTGGCACCTGATTGTCAAGCCACAGGTTGCAGGCCGCATGAAGGAGGCTCGGGAGATGTACTGCCTTTTGCAGGCCTGTCCTCAGAGGAGGCCACTTGGACCAGATGGGAGACCTCCTCGCGGCCAGGATCATGGCAATTCACCAGTCAGTGGCAGATGGAGGCAGCTGGAGAGCAGCCAAGCACTTGGAGATCCGCCCTTTGGAGTCAACGCAGGCTTCGAATACGAGCATTGTCTTGCAGGCGAGGAGATTCGCGAAGATCGCAGACCGTGCGCTGGGTGTAAACCCTCGGCGCTGGCAGCCGATCAGCAAGGGAGGAAAGTCGTGGCACGACGAGGACGATGGTGGCAGAGATGGCAGAGGAAAAGGCAAAAACAAGAGAGGCAAAGGAAAAGGAGGGAAAGAAAAAGGACAGTCAAAGGATTGGAGGCAGAACCAGGAGCCTCCGCCCGGGAAGGCAGACAGCTGAACAAGGGTGTGTTGAAGGAGATCCTTGAGTCGGCACATGATATGAGCTCTTTAGGAGACAGCCTTGCTTGGTTGATCACGAGGCTGGCGATCGGAGGAGAGGCAGACACTATGAGAGTTAGGCTGGGACTTGAGGCCGTGAAGCACCGGGCAGGGAGGGACACCTCACGTCCCTCCCGCTCACTTCTTCCCGTGCCGGCAGGACTCAATCAAGAGTTGGTTGACCATTTGAGAAGTCAGCGCCAGCCAAGTTCATTTGAGAAGGAGGCAATGCATGCTATGCGCAGGGCACCTTTCAAGCCCGTTGCGCCTCAGAAGCACCAGACAGGAGATGGTGGTGAGGAGCCCTGGTTGTCGTGCGTTTCCGCCGGATGCAATTTGCTGGCGGGGCATAAGACACTTTTGCCACCAGGAGAAGCTTCCGCCCTACAGAGATCAGCGCTGGACCAAATGCGATCCACGTTGAGGCGGAGCCTAGCTCCAAACCAGGACCTCCGTTGGCTCGAAAAGGACTGCGCTCGAGAGCTCCAGAAGACTCATGTTAGTTACACAGGTGAAGAGGTCGAGGTAGCACAAACCCTGACCTTTGAACAAATGGAGCCTGCTTTACCCCCTGAAGGTTTTGGAGGGAAGATCGACATCCTGGAACACCTTTCAATTGGGAGTAGGTCCTGGTTAACTTCGCCGTGTCGACTTTTGAGGGACGCCTGTTTGTTTGGGGATTTTAAGTTTGAGGCCAAGATACACATTGCAGAAAAAGAGAAGGTTGGGATAGCAAAGGCCCTTGTTTCTCGAGGGGTCTGCGACTGGATCCCCCTCGCTGAAGTTTTCGAACATCACGGAAGGAAACTCTTCAACGGAATGTTTGGAGTGAAGAAGGATTCCCTGACCTTGACTGGAAAACCGGTTCTCAGAACCATTATGAATTTAACTCCATGCAACCGCCTATTTCACCCATTAGAGGCCGGTCACAGCAGTTTGCCGGATATCCACGCCTGGACGTCGATTGTCATGTCCTGGTCCGAGGTTCTGGAAACTTCCCAGTCAGACATGTCAGCCGCGTTTTACCTCTTCAAAATTCCGGGCTGTTGGAAAAGGTTCCTTTCGTTTCGAATAATTTGTGATGGGTCCGAGATCAACAAAACCCCACGAGAGCAATATTGCCTATGCTGTGCCGTGCTCCCAATGGGCTGGCACTCAAGCGTGTCCCTCATGCAAGAAGCGTCAGCGAATATCCTCGCCCATTCACAGCTTGACCCGAAGCACCAACTCACAAGGAACCTCTTGGCACCAGCTTGGATGGTGAACCTGACAGGGTTGGTGGAACCGGGTCACAGAGACTGGTGGCAGGTTTATTTGGACAATTTTGCTTCTGCACAACTTCGTGACGAATACGAAGTGGCGGAGGCACACCCGGAGCCTTGGCAACGGTGGCACAGTGCAGCAGAAGTTGGTTGGGACCGGGCCGGAATCGTCTCGTCCGAGAAGAAGAGGGTTCGTCAATCCCAGGAAGCATCCGAGCTTGGGGCTTACATTGATGGCAAAAATCGGTTTGTTGGGGGCTCGCCATTGCGATTCTTGAAAACGGCAAAACTGATCTTGTATATGCTTTTCCATGAATTCACGTTGAAGAACCTTCAAACTGTAGTTGGGAGAATCATCTTTGTTATGTCCTTTCGGAGGCCAACAATGTCAGTTTTTACAAATGTTTGGACTTACATTGCCAAGCCCAACCTGCGACGGAAGCTCCTGCCACATGTACGTCGTGAGCTGTTCAACGCCCTTCTCTTGTTCCCCATCATGAAAAACAAGATTTGACGGCAGAAGTGGCAGACTTCATCACCTGTTCAGACGCGTCGCAGAAGGGCGGAGCTAGCGCAGTGGCCCGGGAACTCACAGATGAAGGCAGAGCTTTCCTAAATAGAGTAACCGATCCTCTTCATCCTCCTCGACGGGAACGGATTTTGGTGGTCTCCCTTTTCAATGGTATTGGAGGAGCGTTTAGGGCCTACGACCTCTTAGGTATTGCCGTTGAGGGAGCTGTGTACTCGGAAATCAATAAAGCCTCGTGCCGAACCACGGACCGCAGATGGCCACACTCTAGGAACTTGGGTGACATCCGCAAGATCGACCAAGACACAATCCGCACGCTAGCAATCCAATTCGCAGGATGTGAGAGGGTTGACATATGGTGTGGATTTCCATGCGTGGACCTGTCAGCGGTGAATTGTTTCAGAACAAATCTTCGCGGCTCGCAATCATCTCTGCTTTTTGAGGCACTTCGAGTAGCTAAGTTGATCCGGCAGACCTTCCCCCCAAGTGTGAATATTCATCACATCTTCGAGAATGTCAGCTCCATGGACGTAGAAGCTCGAAACGAGATCAGCCGCCTGGTGGGCACGCGGCCGTGGAAACTAGACCCTCGTGACACCCTGCTGATCAGCCGACCAAGGTTCGCTTGGACAAGTTTCGAGCCGCAAGAACTCGAAGGACGGCACTTCACAGAGAAAGAAAACTTCATCGAGGTCACCATGGCAGCCCAAGGAGTCATGCCCAGGCAGTGGCTCCGGGATGGCTGGCAATGGGGAGATGGAACGTCGCAGCCCCCCTTTCCGTGCTTCATGAAGGCGATCGCTAGGTCCGCACCCCCTCCGAGACCGGTAGGGTTGCACAGATGTTCTGAAGGCGCTCGGGGTCGTTGGGAAGCGGACCGTTTTCGGTTCCCTCCTTATCAGTATCGGGAGGAACACATGCTGTGGCGCAATGGACGGTGGCGTACCATTGATTCAACTGAAAGAGAGTTGTTGATGGGTTTTGGTTTTGAACACACTTCTCTTTGTTGGGGAGCGACGGCAATCAAATCCGATCTTCAAGCATATGAGGACACCAGGAAGACACTGGTAGGAGACAGCTTTTGCATGCTCTCTTTTGCTGCGGTCTTGGCCTGTTCCTTTAACTGGCCCACGGGTTCCTTCTCCATCGAGCATCTAGTTAAACGTTTAGGCCTCGCTCCAGGTTTCGTCACAGGTTGGGAGGCCACCGCTGAAATGAACCGGCAGCTAAACTACGGACAGACCTTCGGCGGGAGCCCCCTCCACAGAACTGTTCAAGACCTGAACAAGGTGTTCATCCAACGAACCAACCACACAGGGGCGGACGTGAAGCTCATTACAGGACATTTGATGGAGCGTAAACAACAAACCAGACAGTCTGTTCCGAGCGCCTGGTGGCGCTGGCAATTCCTCTTTCAGAATAAGTGGCAGTTGACCGAGCACATTAACGCCCTCGAGATGAGACAAGTTCTCAACACCCTTAATTGGGTACTCCGGGACCGTCGGCATTTCAACTTCCGGTGGGTTCATTGTTCTGACTCTTTTGTCACGATTGCAATCCTCTGTAAGGGGCGCACCTCGTCGCGGAAATTAGAGGGTTTGGTGCGGCGGTTTAATGCTCATTTCCTGTTGGCTCAAGTGTACCCCGTTTTGTTGCACGTTGCCTCGCTGGACAACCCTACTGATGAAGGGTCCCGGCAGTTCTCAGACCAGCCGCTGGCGAGCGCAGCGCAAGCGCCGCCGTGCCGGCATTAGTCTGGAGGACGCCGCAATCACCGAGCGAACACGGACTCGATACTATGCCGGCCTCCGACGGATCTTCTTCATTTTAGACATTGCGCATTCTTGGCTAAACCTTGACGATCGGCTGGCTACTTGGATTTCCCGACAATGGGAGAGGGGAGAACCCCTTGGGCACATTTAACTCACTATATGCCCGCTGCTAAGAACCAAATCCCTGAATCTTGGAGGCTCTTCAAGGTCTGGAGAAAGGTTGAGCGCCCACAGCGGGCTCCTCCCTTTCCTCCTGTGGTGTTGTGGGGATTAGTTGGCTACAGCATTGCTCAAGGAGATTTTAGACTGGCTGCCATTTTAGCCCTAGGCTTCCATGCGTGTCTCCGTACCGGCGAGGTTCTTGCGGTCACACCTAGAGATTTCTTGATCAAGCGCAAACACGGGCTACTCCGACTTACAGACACGAAAAGTGCTAAGTCTTCCGATGAGTTCATCCGTCTAGATCGATGACTTCCGTGTGCTCATGATTCTTGAAACGGTACAGGAGCTCATTCCTGAGCGGTTATGGCATAAACCAATCTGGAATCGATCGAGCCAGTTCTTTCGATCCTCACTCGCTCGGCTTTTGAACCATTTCCAACTTCAAAGCCACGGCTTTAGAGGCTACAGTTTGAGGCGGGGTGGTGCCACGCACCACTTCGAAACTGGAGGCAGCCTCGAAAAGACTTTGTTGTTTGGACGCTGGCAATCGAGTAAGGTTGCACGGATTTATCTGTGCGACGGCCTCGCTCGGTTAGCCGCCATGCGTCTCACGGATACCCAACAGGCACGGCTCGAACGTTTTGGTCAGTTTCACTTTTAAATTTGAGTTTCAACCTGCGGTCGAGAGCTCAATATGAGCGGGATCGTGGAAGGAGGTTGTTCCCAATGCTTTTGAAGTCAGAATTTGTTTCGAA